GCATTTGAGCTGTTTTGGTAAAAGAGCAAATTATTTGAATTTACATCAGGTGCTCAAAATGGCGACCATGTACTCTACTTCAATACAGAGACTGCATCCGTATTTCAAATATTCCGTAGGATCTGTGAATCCATGAATCTGTAGATTCATGGATTCACGGATCCTACGGAATATTCCTGGAATATGTTGCAAATGTGCGCAAACGGCCAAGACTCTTGCCAGATTATCTTCTTGACTGCTTCTCGGAATACCTCTCTTTGGACAAGCGTGCAGCTTCTCGTCTATTACAATTTATTTCACCATAAACAAGATACAACTCAGCCAGTTCTTCTAAAGAAAAATTATTGTCTATTTTGAAGAAGAAATTCTAATACGTATACGAAAAACAAACAAAACTAGGCCCACCAGTGGCCAAGCGTTTCCGTTCCCTGAACCCTAGGAGTTCGCGTCTCGCCTGGACGGGATGAACACATGAAGTTTTCCGGGTTTTTTCCACGTCTGTAACGACTGAATAGAGGCCAGTTACACTTAAAAGACCTCCCGGAAGGCATTATTCCACGCGTAACGACCATCATAAACGCATACAACTACTATTCCACGACAATTACGTCACACTTTACCACGGGGCGACATAGCCTAGAAGCTCATGCCCAACTAGCCGATACAAGACAAGACAAATGAAACTTGAAGGTACAGAGGTTACCAGTCGATAGTAAAAACTACTACCTTTTTGAAAATTTTCAATAAGATAAAGGTATTTTATAAATGTACTGTATATATCACAACATAATAACATATTTAAATATATATAACAGCACGGAATGTTAGACCTGTAAATATTAAAAACATAATATTTAATAACCTGTATCGATAAAAAAAAATTGTGATTATCAGGATCCTGTTTAACAAACTGTATCTCGTTTATTCAATTTCACTAATATAATTGTATAGGCCCCATATATAATATACAGTATAATAATATTTATGTTTAAAAATATTTTATTTGATTTAGACTACAATGTAAAAATGTAAAAATAAGATAAATGAAAAACATTTTATATGAACAACTATAATTAATAACTGAAAAAACAATTAAGCATATTGTAAAATAGGAAAAGATAAAATAAATGAAAACATGTGTCAATAATTAATTATTTTTATTTATTTATTTTTTTATTTATAAGAAATACTGTAATTCAAAAGCAGAAGTTAAATTAATACAAAAGACTATGCAATTAGCGAATTCACAAACGTTATGACTTATGGTCTACAGAGTAATTATATGAACTTCATAATTATTCTGTAGCACTTTAAATTGCTCTATAAGTACTCTATATACATTAGCGATTTCTAAATTATCAATGTTCATATTATTTTACATTATATTACAAATATACATGAAAATACATACATATAAACATATTCACACCGTTCTCTTCAACCTTTGCTATAACTATGAAAGAGAAACAATGAGGAAATACATCCCTGTATGAGGTATATATATATTTTATCATTTAATAAATCTTTCATTAATGTAGCGAAGGAATTCTAAGTTATTATACAACACTATTGCACAGATAATATTTAATATTTTTTTATTTTTACAAATTATTTAAAATAAACGGAGAAAACGGTTTGAATCGCGATTTATGAATGTAGAGGCACAATTAATAGAAATATCTAAATATTCAAGTTAATTGAAAAATTCTTGCATTAAAAATAGTTTATAAAAGTAATAAATTAAAGCCTAATTTAATTTTCATGCAATAATTGAGTAAGACATTAATATTTCAACTCTATTTATCTATACTAATATAATAAAGAGGTAATGTTTGTATGTTTGTATGTAAGTTTGGATGCAGCAGGTAATCTCCAAAACTACTCATCCGATTTCAAAAATTTTTTCACCAATATTTAGAATGGAACTTCAGGATGGACATAGGCTGTATATTATTCCGTTAAACATGGGGGATGGACAGTTCTTTACGGTAAGCCTTCTCCGTAAGGCTTACCGTAAAGAACTCTGCTTCTATTTATACTATTTTAAATGCGGTTTTTTGCGTTTTTGATTGCGTTTTAATAGAGTACGTCAACAGAATGTACACAAGAAGGGATTTTTCGATATTCCCCCCGGGGGGAGAGGGACAGGATTAAGGCTTACTGTGAAAAACTTGGCTTCTATTATACTATTTTAGATGCGGGTTTTTGCGCTTTTGATTGCGTTTTAATAGGGTACGTCAAGAGAATGTACACTAAGAAAAAATTTTTCGAAAAATTTTCCCCCACGGGGGAAGTGTTATACATTTATAATAGATACATTTTGAGCCACAACAAGGCGTGGCGGGGTCTGCTAGTTTATTAATAAAATCGTAAAATTGGAAGGTAAAAATCATGCTTATTCAAAAAAAAAAAAATTAAATGTTATTTATTTTTGTAAAAATTTGTTTTAATGTTTCATATGAAGCGCAATATGGAGCTTGTATTAATATCTCGATCTCTCCCAGTTCTATTTGAGTCTTTGATAATGAGTCTTTTACAACAAATTATAGCGTTAAAATGGTATTTATTTATTTACAAATAAACATTAAAAGTTCATAAAATAAAATTTAGTGAATAATCTTATAACAATTTTAGCATGTACCAACTAATTAAAATACATGAAACTTTTTTCATTTTAATTTACCGTTTAATTTCGTGATATTTTGATTTAAATATTTAGTTAATTAATTTTTATTTCGAATTTATCGTTTTTTTACTTACACTTTCAATTATAGCTCTACAAGTTTACAATGTAATTAGTATATAAGAATGTGTACAGTCCATTCCAAATATTCAAAAAAGATGCTCTATTTTCTCTGCAATTTTTAACCATATTTTTGTGTGATGAAAACTAAATGTATTGACGTCATAAAACGTCAGATTATTCACACGAATGACATCATAGAAAATACTGTGAAATTTAAAACAATGGAAATATACGTATGAAAACTGTCATTTCGCTACTGGATACATAGCTGTTGACTGAAAACTTCTTTAGTTATGAGAAACGGGCATATTCATGAATTTTAGATATTTTTAAAATATTTTAGAATATTTTTAAGCACAAAAACTTTATTGAAAGAGAGATTTAATGTGGTGCCATCTGTTAGACTGAAAGTTTAANTTATTTAATTTAAAATATATGCTCTCCATCTCAAATTAGTAGTGGCTTGCCCCTATATATCACACTTTTTCTTTAACAACAGAGTCGTACCGGTGATCTACAGGTATTAACTGCTTTCAGGGGAAAAGTTTTCAGTTGAAATATCATGACTTCCGATTTGTATCGGAAGTTCGTATATAGTAATCGGGCCTCCTGTCTCTAACGTTTCCATATCTGGTCTCGGATTTCATCTAACTCCGTTCTCCAGATTAAGGAAAGACAGGCGGACGGACGACAATGGGAATTTATAGGTCTACCATTTTTTCAGATTGCAACCCCGTGAGGTCACGAGTCGACGCGAACTAATGGATTGCAATGTTTAGAATGTCTATCGGAAAAACCCAGCTTTGACTCTGACTCTCGTAGACATGACAAAATGTGGAAATAAATGAAGCATTCCTTCGAAAGCAAAATCGTCGCGTTGTAAGTAATGAAGACATAAAGAAAAATTCTTAGCCGTCAGAAAAGAAAATATCATGGTGTGAGATACGAGCGAAAGTTTCAAAGTTCGATCAACACTTGCAGACGAAGTCGAACGGAGATGACAAATTTATTAACGAATCAAATTTAAAATTTAGGAAAGAAATCCTTTAAAAAAGCCAGAAATTCATGGACAAAGAATGGTCGCTTCTCCCTGGATCAATCTGTTTATCCTCTGTGTCGATTTCCCTGTTGTCTCGGACTTCATCTTCGTTCCGCCGAACTGTTTGACTTCCAGCCAGTCTGCCCGGGGCCATCGGATCGCCGTTGGATAACCAGTTTTGTTTCCGACCAAGAGAAGACGTTTTCTGGAATTATGTAAGCAATATTTCCCAAATAAACGGTTTGTTATGTAAAAGCGACCTGTCTCAGTGACGACAATCACACCCACAATACAAGAACAGGGATTAGTCTAACCTTCGCTTTTCTCTCCGTTGGCAATCTTACACAAAACAGTGTTGTGTGTGAGTAACGTTAAAGAGTACACTTTTGCTGTTACTATGACTGACATTTTCACATCCCACTTGCTTATCTGCAAGTGGGATGTGAAAATGACAACAGAGTTGTAATGATATTTGCATAACTATCACTAATACATGTTCCGACTTTTGCAAGAGAATAGATGTAAAGGGAAGAGGAAGAACAGTAGCGTGAAACTCTATATCATGTGAAATGGAGAATAGACTTTCTTCTTGTATATGACTTAAAGCCACTTACTCGATCAAATCCAAGAGAGTGGCAAATAATCTGTTTGCATTTAAGTATCGATATATATTTTAAAATTGATTAAGAGTAATTTTTTAAAACATAATCAACATTTACAATATTTCTATAAATTAAATTATTACAATAAAAATATTGTTTTTTTAATATTTCACGAATTTTTAAGTTATTATAAGTGCAAAGGAACTTTTTATTATCGCTCAATCGTGGCGATTAAAGTGATGAGATCGGCCCTCATCCTCTGTATCACTCACTCCCATTTCATTAACAACGGATGAATTCATTTCTTTACGACTATGATGCTTATTCGCGCTTCTTGGAGAGACAACCGCACTACTTCCGAAGATATCGGCTCCTATAGAGAACCTAAACCGATTTTTGAGTGCAGCCATCTGAGTGCAATATGTTTTAACAGAAGCTGAAGTCACAGAAAAATAAAAATTTCTAACTTTATTAATTCCGAGGAATTAAACTTTCCGTTTAATGGCAATGAAAGAGAAATGTACATTTAAAACAATGATAAGACTTTGTAAAGAATTCTCCAAAAGCTCATTTTAATACATAAATGAAATTTCATATATTTAATCACGTGATTTCACATTAAATGTACTTTCATAATAATGAATTACAACAATTTTTAATAATAAGCTGCATTTAACAATATTCTATTGTTACTATTGAGAAGCGAAAATGGTGCGCTGCCTAAAAAGGTTCTTTTTGCGAGTGTGGAGTAATAAGGAGAAGAAGAAAGGGTAAATTTTCTCATTAATTACATTTATAATTGCGATTTAATTAATATTAATTACGATATAATCGAATTTCCTTACAGGAGAGATGATGATGCTGAACCAAATGCTCAGCAAGTTACAGATTGTCCTACAAAGGTAAGATATTACTCTTTCTCTAGGAAAATCAGTGTTATTTATGACTAAGATTGAGTTACTATCTATTTTTCTAAAGAAGTTTTAAATACTTTTTTCCAATAATGTTGCAAGCGTAAATGACTTTTATTATTGATTTTTCTTAGTTGGACGAAAATTGTCTTGGAACAACGTGTCTCCATTCAAATAGAGAGGATTCGTAGTTCCCAGACAAGTATTCAAAGAGGAGAAAATTTATAGAATTCTGCAGGAATGCATTCTATAAATTCTGTTGTTGTTGTCGTATGTCGGGCGAGATTTCCGATTCACAGGTAAGTTCTCGTTCTTTATACAATCCTTTAATTAAAGAAGTTTATAATTAAAAGATTCTGCGATTTTAGAACTGCGAATTGGAAAATAATCTTGCGCATTCTCAAATTCGATTGGATTCATCAAAATATGATGAAAAAATTCGTAATGAAAATTACGAGATTAAAGAAATAGGAAAGGGAAATTTCGGTACAGTTTTTTTGGCTCGGTGTAAAAATTCAGACGAAAAAGTGGCTTTGAAAGCCGTCAAGATGAAGCGCTTTTGTCTCGCACAGGTACGCTTTAAGCTTTGTTTTTGATTGTAATACGGCGTCAAAAAACAGAACATGTTTATTAAATTATTCTTGACTTCAAAAATCATCAATTCACACATCATTTAATGTTATTACACGTTTATCAAAATTTATTTAATTATTGATGATGCACTAAGCCATGTTCTAAAAACATTAATTAGAAAAATCTACAGAGTATTCTTAGTTTAGTGTATATTAAGAAAATGTCTTTATTTATAGAGGCGCGAGATAAACAAAGAAAAAACTGCATGGACGTCCGCATCGAGCCATCCCCATATTGTGACGTTAATAAGTTATTTCAAAATGAATACAAGGTAAATTTTAACCTTTTTTCATTTGAGTTATTGGCAATACCTTACGCTTCTACGGACTAATAATTATTTTCTTCAGTTTCTGTTTCGTCTCCGACTACGTGGACGGACAGGACTTGACAACTTACTTACAGTACAGAGAATTCCTGGAGGAAGCCGAAGCCAAAATATTTGCTGCTCAAGTGGCTTCGGCCATCGTGTTTATTCATAACAAAGGTGATTTTCTAAATATATTTATTTATTCATTTCTTCACAAATGCAAATTGTATGACGAATTTGTTTCTGTCTTCGACAGGAATAATTCACAGGGACATTAGCTCCAGCAACATCATGTTAGATAAAACGAAAGGAGCACAGTTAATCGATTTCGGACTGTGCACAGTAAGTATTGTATACTGTAATATCCTAAGTTTCGTAGAGGTACATATTTCATACGACATTGTCGTTTCTTTCCGTCAGTATGAACGAAATCCCAAAGACTATTGCGGGAGTTTGTTCTATCTATGCCCAGAAATTCTTGAGAAGAAACCGTACGGTAAGGTGCTCTATTCGAATTTAATCGAATCATTTCGTTTAATTCTTGTAATTAATATGTATTACGTTTAGATGCTTACTGCGATTGGTGGGCGTTTGGAATCATATTACACCAAATGTTAATTGGACAGACTCCAATGGATATTTATCTGAAAAAAATTAACAATATTGGCAATATGGACTTGACATCTCTTATCGAGATAGCCAAAAGTAAGCCATCGTTATTTCTTAATTTGTTAACGATAAAGTGAAACGATGTGATTAATGTAAGCGTGTCTTTTCAGTGGCTCAAAATGTTCCGTTGCAGTATCCTATGCGACTGTCGATGAATGCCGTAGACATGATCGAGGATCTACTACAAAAGGTAAGATTATAATATTTACTGTATTTATATGACACATCCATTTGCATAATTGTATTTTGTTACATCTCGAAGTGTTAAATGTTAGTATTTATGTTGTTTTATACGAGAATCTCATATATTTTATGTAGTTAATAAGAAACGCGTTCATTTAATAACATAAATACATTTCAACACACTTTCTGAATAATTAGGTGAATATTTGAATAACTAATTCAGTTTGTTTAATCAACACTGTTGAATACTGAATTTCAATGTTTGTGATAATCAAATTTTAATGAGTAATCAGAAGCTGAATAACTTACTGTAATACGAGTTGACTTTGAAAGTTTACAGATAAAAATATAATTAAAACTGTATCAACTGTTGTAATTAATTTTTATGATTTCTTGTCTTTTCAGGATCCGAACAAACGTCTTCAAGAAGGAGACATCCAAATACACAGATTTTTTGATGATGTCCCTTGGCCTGAATCAGTTCGCACTTGACTGATTCAATATATAAATATTCAAAAAAATTATTTTCAAAATAATATTTATTATATGATTTTGTTAATTATAATTAATTAGACTTTAATTGTATTTTTAAATGATTTAACTAATCGTTCCGAATTAAACTTAATTGCGTTCAATCGTTTTTGGTAGTTTGTGTGTTGAATATTGTACGATAAGCATTCGTATTGTGTGGTGAATATTAAAAAGAATCGTATAGGATTTATACGGCGAATTGTCTGAACAACCGCGAGTAAAGACCAGAATAAAGAACACAAGAATAGTTAAATGCTGTACCAATAACGCATCTAATGCTAAAGATATATAAAAAATAAAATAAATACACATGTTATTCGGTCATTTATAAATTAAATAGTAGCAACTGTCGTCATATTGACAGAAATAGAAGAAATTGTCTTTAGAAAAGACTATTCATCACTCAAAATAGTCAGCTGCTGACAGACCTATTTACAATATTTACATATAAACACATTAAGAGTCTAGAAAGCTCAAATATCAAACTTAAGTCTTTCTGGTATGCTAATCAGAGCTTTTTATAACGAGTATACTACACGGCGTTCAGTAACATGATGATAATTTAAGATATGTTTGACATCAATTTATGTTTAGTGTTTTTCTGAAAAGATTCTTAAGCTTCTGGGCACGTAAAAATAAATTTAAAAAAGTGTTTGTTCTCTTATTGAAAAATTCTATTGGATGCTTTATTTGGACAAAAATCTTTTGTCTAATGCACCGTTGAAAGTATTGCTTGTATATGTTTTGGTCCTTTACGAATAATTAGAATAAATCCTAAGCCATACAGGTGATAGAGTGTCAACTTTGACTCTTAATATCTCAAAGAGCATCGAACCGATTTGGATGAAATTTAAAATGTTTAGTGTCCGAAATGAGTACTACAGACGACTTAAATTTTGAATAAATTCGTTGAATCATTTTGGATTTATGCTATTGGCATTTTGTCGCCCACGTTTACAACGAGAGATAACAGCAACACCGAGCTACCAAACAATGTAGGAGTCTGTATATGTTTAATGGTTTTTTTAAAACAGACCTCCTCCTAATGGCCCTTTTAATAATTTTGTTTAAAAATATCGATTAATTATAAAATAACAGCACATTTTTAAAATTTTAACATATTATTGGTCAATCGGGTATCACATGACATGATTTAATGTAGACTATCACCTGACTTCATTTTGCGATCATTTCAATCTATTACTTATTATCATGGTTACTAGATAAAGCAAAGCGGAATTTTCTGTCTATAGCCGCTTTTGCCCACAGTGCAAAGAGCTGCCCACTGATACAAAAGGTGAGGAATATGTTAATTGCTAAAACGGACTATGGCGAACAGTAACACATGAAGTTCTAAAGAGAATGTTAAGAACAGTTCAAATAAACGTTTAAAGATCTATTAGTGGTACTTTCGCACTGCGTAAAACACTACAGAAAGTAGACACAGAAAAATGCTAATTTAAATTAAACATTAAAATGCTAATAAGGAATGAAACAAGAAAGATGGTTGAACACTAATAAAGGACGATATACGTTCTTTCCTGCGGAGTATTGAAGAACGAATAAGAAATTTACTATGGCATTCAGTTGACTTTATAAGCAGCCAGTTATATACTGGACACTGCAACAGTAATGAGAACCTAAAAAGAATTGGCAGAAGACAGACTGAAGCTTGCGACTGCGGCGAAGAACAGAATTTAAATCACTTTGGCTGCCACAGATGACAGAGAAAGAACAGAACTTTTCTTACTATACCAGCAATTCTGTAATACACCCAACCCAGAATTATAAAACTTAATACGAAACAGAAATCTTACTCAGGAACTCAAGACCTTTCTGAAGAAAATTCTAACGTTAAGGCTTGATAGACAAGCAACCTTCCTTTGATAAATACCGATAGGTTGTCGGAATTGTAAAATATAAGGCAAAAATCTTGTATATATATGTTTAATTGTTTTCTATATTTTCAGTTATGTTTGTTAAAAAAGGAAATTTAATTTTCTGAAAGGTAAATAAAAGAAACGTTCTTCTTGTGGTGAGATAGCAGGACAAGGAAGACTCTGATTTTCGAATAGGAAAAATGATGACCATCTAATGAAAAACAAAAATGTCAGCTGAGGTTGTTGGCCTGTTTAGTCTCACGTTGGCTGTTGTCTGCTGCCGTAGGCAAGCACCGGGTTTTAAGAGAAAGGTCGAAACCTTCTTGCCTTCTTCTTAATTGATGCGGCATTTGTCGAACGCAATCGACTGGTAGGGTGGCCGAGAGGTCTAAGGCGCTGGTTTTAGGCACCAGTCTCTTCGGAGGCGCGGGTTCGAATCCCGCCCCTACCAACGAGATTTTTGCGCAATCTTGAAACGCAAAGCTTTCTTTTTACCCTCCACCTTATTTGTACTAGAACTTTTACTCTTTTTACGGTCATGTTTAACAAACGCTGATGCAAAGCGCGCAGAAACAGTTAGTCTGCAAACGATTCTGTTATTTCAGTTTTCCACCGTAATGTGCAAAACTCGCATTTGCTTCAGAAATCTCTTCGATAACCTTAAATTCTAAGCGCGAATCGATTACAATAAACGCATTGAGCAAACGTAGCAATGTCATTGTTTGTCCATTTTTGTACGAATCGACAAAAATCGACGATTTGATTTACATACATCGACGCAAAACAACGTATTAACTGGCAGGGGTGGGATTCGAACCCACGCCTCCGAAGAGACTGGTGCCTTAAACCAGCGCCTTAGACCGCTCGGCCACCCTACCAACTGCTTGCATCGTTATCAAAATTTTAACTGTGCATGCTGATTGACACTTCGAAAACACAACGGATAAAGTTCTCGTGTAGTAGCCAAGTCTTTGCCGCAGAGATTGACTACGAGTAATTAATTCCCTGCGACTATATGGCCTCGGCTTTGTTCCGTGCTACTCTTTAAACCAATACTTGTAATCGGAGGAGATGGATTGCGTTCGCAAACACCATCCGAAAAAGAGATAGGGTTTTCATCAGAAACGCGCCATCCATCGTTACATCTTCGTAAATCGTTATTTTTTAGATCTTCAATTTCGTAATTCGATTCTTGAACGGATGCCCAGCCAAAACGGTCTTGTATGATTTTGTGACCACATGTACCGTCTGGTATTGGATCGTAAACAACGCGCACAAAAGCAACCGAAACGCAGATTAGGAGTTGACAGAATGCGAAAGAAACTTTTAGTGGAAAGTTGCTTGAATTTTCGCGCGGATAGACGTTGTAGTCACGTATAAAATTTGGCGTGAAACCTTAGCAAGAAACGACGAAAGCTTTCATTGAAAACAAAACGATCGCACCCATGTGTAGTATATGGAATTTATCTCAAAGAAAGTCGCTATATTCAAAGTAGCGACAGACACATTGTAATTGAAGTCCAGAGAAAACGAACGATTAGTTGACTGCTCTAGTCGCTGCAAGCGAAAAGAAAAGTTGGACACAGACGAAAGATTATATCGGTGTACAGCAATAGGGTGGTCGAGTGGTCTAAGCCACTGGTTTCAGGTAGCAGTCTCCTCGGAGTTCTATGATGTATAAATGTTTTTAGCTGAAATCCTACTGAAGTCAGTACTTTACCTTACAAGTTGGTTATTGATAAGTCATGTGGTTTTCATAGCAGCACAAATTTTCATCGTTCTTCTGTATTTTATTTATTTATTTATTTTAAGTTAAAGTGTAACGACACTATGGCCATTGGCCTTTTCTAACTGTAAAAATACATATACAAAACACAAACAATCAACAAAAAAAGAACAAAAAAAAAACACAATTCAATTTTTAACAACTTTTTTAAATTGTTCCTAAGTTCTCATATCTTTGTAATATTTAACAACTGAAAATAAAGATGCAAATTTACACATACAGCAAGCAATTTTTACCATATCTTAAATTTATTTAATTTAAAATATATGCTCTCAATGTCAAATTAGTAATGTACTGCCTCGCCCCCGTACATCATACTTTTCCTGTTAGCAATAGATTCGGGCCTGTCCTCTATTTAACTCCTTTCAAGAAAATAGTTTTGAATTGAAATAAAGTGACTTCTGTCTTGCATTAGAAGTTCACGTAGAGTTAATCGGGACCTCCAGCCCCTAATTTTAATACTCTGGTGTCAAAATGGAAAAACGACTCGTAATTTAACGTCGACATCATCACTCAGTCGGGGATTTCTTGTAGGAGACAAAACATGTCATAACTTCTTTCGAAATTCCGTAAACTAAACAAAGCAATTGAATCATCGTTTAGTTAGTTAAACGTCGGCCTGTCATAAAACTGCTTGAACATAACGAGAAAGGAACATTAATGAGTTAAATAGGGCTGTTTTCCGAACGAAAATCGCCAAAGACGTGCTTTTTATTTCTCACTTTATTTCTTCTGTTTTATTACAAGATTGACTGTCATATACACAAATTTCGTGCGCCTTTTCTTTATTATATCATCTGTAGATTGAGTATCTCTAACCTCATGTTCTTTAGAATTTTCATCATTCAACGTCTTTTGTTTCTCCATATCGTTTAGTATTTTCTGTTCTTTTGTAACCATACCCCGTTCACTCTGGTAAGGGACGTACAGTTGAGGAAATAATCAGCGGAGTAGCGTGGGTGTCAGCCGCCCGGGGCGAAGAAAATTTTCGCTGTCCCGTTATTTAGGTATCTCAATTTAAAAGACTAAAATTCAGTTTCGTCACAGAATAAGCAATGAAAAATTCCGTGCTAGTGTAGCGACCTGTTTAAAATAGCTCTATTGGATATTGGAGGTGTATATTAATACGAATGAATCGTACAGGAAAAAAAAAGGTCAACAGGTCGCGCAGGATATCCCCAGATGTAATTACTAGTTCATCCGGACGGTGAGTCGATTTCCGGACTGTCCGGATGGTAGCACTATCGTAGGCGTGACGAAAATATAGAATAGAATAGTTCAAATTTTTACAAGATATTATTGTTATTTATATTTATTGTGAAATTTTGCCGCCCCCACTACGCTACGCCACTGGAAATAATTCACTTAGTTTCAAGGAAAGTTTCGACAATATTTTATTTTTTCAGTCTCTTTCTGCCTTTAAATTTAAAAACTGTGGTAAGAAAACTTGATCCTCTGCATTCGAGTTTTTGTTTTCTCTTAGTTGCTTGGATGGAATCAACAGTTTTTCATCCGCTGATTTATTTCATCCGCTAGGTAAAATTTTTTACGTCCAGTCTAGAATACAGTATTGCTTTTCCGTTAATTTCAATCGGAAAAAATATGAAAATAAGCATAAAATTCATAAAATTCATTATCATTTTCGTATGAATTGAGAAAATTCGCATTGAAATAGCTTCAATTTTAATTCATTTGTATATTTGTATATTGATGTAATTTTAATTCATTTATATATTTGTATATTGATGTAATTTTAATTCATTTTTATATTTATATTATCTATAATTTCGTTTTTATATACTGTATTATCAACTATAATAAATATTTTTCCATTTTATTATTATTTTTTTATGTGGCAACACTTGAAAATGCCAGCTACATTTGAAATGTTAAGATGGCGCTTACCATATATCGTCATGCCGTTGGTCCTATTTTCAGCTTTTCTCGAAAATGTCTGTTGAAACTTGAAAATCATCAAAGATGTTTTGGTTTGTAAAGAAGCATGGACTTTTCTTTTTTCATTATTAATGCAAGAACTTGAATTAAGAAAATACATTACTATTTCTTGATATATATATTATAGATTAAATTAAAGGAATAAATTCAGATTTCGTGCTAGATCCTTCATTAAAAAGTATACGACTAATCGGGTCAGTTAATATAATTGCAAATTGTAAGCTCTAACAAATTCCTGGATTGTTTCGTTTAACATGTAAATCACATTCAAATTACAGTTATTTCTAATTGGAATCATTAAGCTTGTGTTTCAAAGCACAGCTTAATCTGCTTACTGAGCATGATGAATATAATACTACATTCACACACAATCCATGACTCACTTTAATCTCAATTTAACCACAACTGTTGCCAGTCGAACGTCGAGCTGTTTGCACAGGCTTGAAAAGAACCCGGTTATTGCACACAATGATAAAACTGACAAAACTACGCGGTAAATCACGAAAATCAACAAACAAAATGGAAACTGGTAATAAAGTCATCTATTTTTTCTTGCCATATATCTAACAATAGCCAGATCTCATCATCTCTCCAAATGTCTTTTTTATTTTTTTGTTGATAGCCTGACACTTGTTTTGCAACCATCTTGTTTTTTCTTGCACACATGGGATTGTGGGAACTCTCTTATGACTGGATCTAGTTTCAAAAACTCGTGTTGATCGCGATTGAACCTTGTTTTAGACGAGATTTAAATGGTCGAGAGAGGTTGCATCATGGCACAGTCGCTGATCTTATCACAATCTAGATTGAAATGATCAGTGCAAACAGGGTATAACTCTACATCTCTGAACAAATAGTGAAATTAAATTTAAGGAATCAATAACACATTTAGGGAAATTTGTATAGAATCTGTTCAGAAATTTCAATTATTTGACAGCAGAATGACACTATTGGTATTTGGTAAGTCATTGACTGTGTTCAGCAGACTCAATGGTTCCGGATCTGTTGAGTATTTTTCTGCTGAACGCCCTCTACAGTAGCACTCTTTTGAAACATGTTTGGTGTTTTGATGTCACATTTGGTAGCGTCTCATTTACACTATCTATCACTACCTAAAACTGACCAATGAGGCTTTTTGTTCCGACGCAATGTCACTTGTTCAGCAGATCCAGGTTGCTATGTAACAGCTACCAATTTGCTCAGTTACAACTGTTGAGTCTGCTGAATGCAACCATTCTAACCCAGTCAAAGATTGATGAGTCTAGTAGCAACTGGTGAACTTTAGGTAACATTTTGATTGATGCTTGGTTACGGTAGGGAACTGGTAAATATTTCCAAACATACTTATGGTCATGGCATATCGTTCACCACTGCAAGTAATACAGTTTACCATTTAGTATTTAAAATGTCTACTCAGATTTATTTTATTAACAGGATTTATTATACCAGCATCTTTGTTTGGCAAAATTTAAGAAAGCCTATCAAATTTTGCTGAACAAAGACATTAGTATAATAAGTCCTGTTAATAAAATAAATGAGTAGACATTTTAAATACTAAACTATAAGATAAGGACACAGAGGCATATGATTTAATATGATTTATTGTTGACTTTCTGTAATGAATGGCCCAATACTTTTCTAATAAATTATTAATTCTGTCAAAATTGAAAACATATACCATTTAATTTACTTTTAATGTTTGTTTAAATTTCTAACAATCTGTAAAGTATTAAAAATAATGAAAAATATATGGATTGCAGATCAAAGTTGTTTTGGTACGGTATTGAATCTGTTTTGCCTGATTAACTAATGGCCATATGATAAATATTATTACATAGTTATTGATTAATCTGGTGAATTAATAAGCTAATAAGGCATAGGAACTGAAGAAGGCAAAACTTAGTGATTATTCTATGAAATTTTTTTTATGATTACATACCTCATTTATTCTGATATTAATTGAAAAAGTGTTTTAGTTTTTTGACTTAGGGTTAAAATTATGGTTCGGATATTTAAATTAAAGCTCTTATGCTGAAAATGATGCCAGTGAAAAAAGATTTGGGAAAGGTGCAATGGTTCACGTTTGGTGGAGTGGAAAAAATTCAATGCTAAGTCTATGGAAAGGCAAGCAACAAACATATTGGGAGCTTGCAAGCCATCTAGTGATTTAGTTTTTCTTAACAGTTTGAACAACCTGTTGCTCATTATTACTGTGATTTCTTGCTTTCTTTGCTAATTACACAATAATTTAAAAACATTTTACAAAATTTTTTCAATAAGTTAGTTTTGTCAATGTTTACCACACTGCCATCTACCAACTTATAGCATCAATCTCTGTTTGGGCTGCAATTTGAAAAAATTGTAGACCTATAAATTTCCACTGTTGTCCGTTTGTCTGTCTTTCCTTAATCTCGAGAACAGAGTTAGATGAAATCCGAGACAAGATAGGGAAACCTTAGGGGCAGGAGGGCCCCAATTAACTATACATGAACTTCTGATGCACACTGGAAATCACATTATTTCAATTCAAAACTTTTGTCCTGAAAGCGGTTAATAGATGATCAGCATGACTCAATTGTTAAAGGAAAGTATGATATACAGGGACACCACTACTAATAATTTGAGGTGGAGAGCATATATTTTAAATTAAATTAATTAAAAATATGATTAAAAGTTTATTCCACAAATAATTGTAAGTAAACAAAACAATTCACAATACTAAATTTGGTTTGATAATTAAAAGTTCACAATGAATAATTGCTAATTTTATTATACAATTACTTCACGATGAGGCCAAAACATGATTCTAACCATCCAATTCATTACTTAATGCCAATTGATGGCTTTCTTGACAAATCTACCAACTAAAAATTAAACTTGAATCTACGACTGTTGGTAGGTTAAGAATTTTATAACAGCCAATGAAATTGTCATGAGGTGGGTTGACACTTTCTTCACTGTTAATCCAAAACCCTACCAGTTGAAGTTGATCAGCATTAGGAATACTAAATTGCCATCCTGGGATCTGGATGCAAAATTGAAAGAAGTCATTGAGAGAAAGGACCAGTGGGAGAAGCCTCATGGTACCAGCGAACAAGTCAATGCAAATCACCTGCGAACAGCCCAGAGAACACTTGTACTGATGATTTTTGTGTAAAGTGCCAAATTTTAAATGAGTTCATTGTATTTTAATTGAATAAAACTATCAATTTCAATAGGTTTCTGCTAGTTTATTCTAATAAACAGTATATCTGCAGGTGAAAAAGTTATAGACAATTTGCTGTTTATTGTAATAAATACAGTATATAATTTTTTAATTTTTGATATATTTGTAATTGAAACAGAGAACTTTAATAAATATACAGTATTTAATCTGAAAGAAAATATATATTTATATATCTTACTATATTAATGTCACACAAACTGCCAGATTATTAATCAAGCTACAATAAAGCTAATTTAATGCTTAGATGTAAAGCAATATGGTTGTATATAGGTAGTTAGACCTACCTGTATGGTTATATCTAAATTAGTCAAGTATTTAATTATTATGGAAATGACGGACAATTTAAGCTATCATTGAAGTATTTTCAGCTTTCACAGTAACGAAATAATTCCCATTTCTAAGACTTAATCCTTTGTAATATGGTGTAACAAAGGATTATAAACATTGCTTGAAAAGTTTGATTATATAAATTTAAAGTAATTGTTTAGTAAATTTTGTTCAAGATGCATTAAATTTTCAAAACTTGAATTTCATAATTTCACTTCTAAAGTTATTTAACAATCTTAAGGCATTATAAGGTTTCTTGTGCACATTCTTTGTATACTCCTTATCTTTTGAATACATAAGGTATATGATGGAATTAAAATGTTTTTGGTGGATTTTTCGAAGATATAAATGATTGAAATATTTATATAAATGATATATCTTAAAGTTCTAGTTAATAATGTAGTAAGAACGTACATAAAAACTGACTAATGTTTTTTTTTGAATTTACAGGATTTCGCTATTTATATAGTGTTCAGTTTTTGGGTTTGGATAAATACAAAGAACAAAGGGAACGAATTGCAAATCAGTTTGGTCCAATGAAAGGTAAAAATATTTTTAGTATATTATTTTATACATTATAGTCTTTAATTGAATTGACTGTATATTATACTTTATTAAATCATTATTTACTTAAATTTTTAAAAACTTTATATTTTATTTGTCAATTAATGTTTTTGTTTACTTACAGTTTAGTAAAAACACCATATAAGCATTACATCTGTTTTAAGTTATTTACATTTTTTTATTTGTATAATACGTAATATGAATTTAGAAAGAAATTGTAACCACTGTTTTTGAATATTAAATTATCTTAATCTCAAAAAAGTAAAAATGAAAACTAAATGGCAAAATAAACTTTTCTTATTAGCAAATGTCTCATATGAGATAACCACACAGTCTAGATAGAGAGTGTTTATCTTGTTCTTTAATTGGAATATAAATATAATATACTAAAATCTCTACCTTACACAGCACAGTCAGTTTACACACTAAGTGATTTAATTATTGTACAATGAGAATAGATCAAGATCAGAAGGGATCACCAGGAACAAACATCTCATTTAACACACACAAACTTTGGAAATATGTAAATCAGTACGTCAAGCCTATCCATTAACTATAAAGACCACAACTTGCTACCAAGTGTTTGGAGGATGTGGTTTGAGATCAAAACCACACAATTTTCAAGAATGTTTTTATCATAGTTATTTCTTACATTTGTTTTTCATCACCCTTATTGATGACATTTATTATTTTTATCATGTTTATTTTTATTTATCCATTTTACGTATTTTTGGAATTTATGTTATTTTATTGTTTTTTATTTTTGTTTCAGTTTGAAATGAAACATTGGCATTCCCACAACTTATTAAATCTACAATGTTCAATAGAATTTTTGTAAACCTGAGAATGGTCTTTTAATAAGACTGAAAACATTAGTTATTAATTAAATAGATTTTTTGCTGCTTAAAAAGATTGTGAGTGTCTTAGTTACTATCTAGCAGTTATTGTTTTATTATTATACTAGCTGTTACCCGCGACTTTGCCCATGGTAGTTTTGCAAGAAAACCCCATTTATATTCAGTATTTCAACAACCATAGTAGTTGTTATATAACACCTACTGCTGAGAATGATGAGAATTGCTGAGAATCAAACAAACTATTTTCAATTTGATCAATTTTCTGGAATGTTTACAATCGTTCTATAATCAAACCAATATGCGATAACAAATTCGAATTTTAAACTGTTCAAACATTTGGTTAAAAATTCGAAAGATATAAAAATATTTATAACAATGTTATCAATTTAATACACCTAGGTACTCAATGAAGACTAAACATTGTTAAAAACAAAAAATCGCATCTAAAACAGTACAGTAGAAGCCGTTCTTCTGGTTAAGCCTTAATGCTTCCCCCCTTCCGCTAGGGAATTTTGAAAAATCCCTTCTTAGTGTGCATTTCCACGACTTACCCTAACTGTGTACCAAATTTCACCTTTTTAGGTGTGGCGGTTTGCTCTGGGTGATGATGAATCAGTGACTCAGTCAGTCAGGACAAGTAATTTTATATATTTAGATTGTTTTACTTCTATTGATATAAACTCTAGAATAATTACACTGTTGCAAGTATAAGAGAAATGAAGACACACTTAAGTGTTACAACAGTGATATTCAGATTATACTATCTGAAATCAATTTATATTTTGGACCAAAACACTCTAGCTAAATGTGTTACTGATGCTCTAAATTTGGTCCAGTAAAACAGTGTGAAATTAAGTCATGTATTTTTAAAAAATTGACTAAGTTTTTTATTCCCATCTGTGTGTTGAAACCATGCCCTCCTTTATTATATAGTTTTTTGAGATGCCATAAAGTGTTGACACTAGACACTGGACTTTTTCACGTCTACTTTATTCTCTTATGCACTTTACAGTCTTTAAACTAATTGTTCCAATTTTTTTCAATGTTACCAATAAATATTTTTTTTTTTTTTTTAGTTCCACCATCATAAAATTACATACATTTTATATATAAGTATTTGTTATTCAACTGTTAAAGTTTATTACTACTTTATGCTAAAAGCTATGTAATAGATAATTTTTTTATTTATTCAACTGTTTCTGAAATTTAATTAGAATTTTTGTTTTTCAGATAAATTTCGTGCTAGAATGTTACAATATCTTAGCAGTGAGGGAGATGCTATGGTATTTACTGAAGACTTAAAAAATATGGTATATTTAGCAGAAGATAATCCTGAAGATTTAGATATTTGTGTTAGAATGATGAAAAGGTAATTTTTATAATCAATTATTAAAATAATTGCTTTTTATGTTTCAGATGTAACTTTTTGTTATTTAACATTAACAATAATGATCTTTATTAAATATTTGGCATTTTATGAATAAGGAAATTTGAAAGTAAAAAGGTTGTTTGCATATTTGACTCTTTTCAATTTATATTTTAAAATTGATGTTTCTCTTAATTTAGTAATCCAATTCACATGAAGCAAATAATATCAATTACAGTAGAGCATCGATTATCCGACCCCTGATTAACCGTCACTTCGGTTAACCGACCGTTCTAGTCGGCAAATTTCAAATGTCCGCTAGTGATGTGGCACTACAATATTTGGCTATGTTTTGGCTATTTTAATATTATTTTTGTTAAATTTTTGCGTGTTTTAGCTGGCAAATGGTCGAGCCAGACCATTGAAGGGAGGCCAGTATTTAAACGAGACTTAATTTTCTAATTATGAATGGTTGTTTGTTTTGTGAGCAATAAAATAATTTAAAAATAATTTTTAACGATACAATAGCGACAATTATTATTTAAAACAAAATTTTGTTAGGCTTAACATCGATGAAAATTCAACGCAAAGTTGGTTAATAGCGATATACTAATATACTAATTACATGGGATATACTAATATACTATAGTAATAATGTATTTTTTTCATTCTTTTCGGTTATCCGACCAACCCGAGTCCCCAATTGAGTCGGATAATCGATGCTTTACTGTATTGGTCAAATTACGTCACATGTTAAGTATTTTTACACAAAATACTTAACATTACATTTCTGAAATTTTGAACTAAAATTTGAATTCAGATTTATTTCCTAATTCATTTATTTATAATTTAAAGTTATTAGATAAGCAAAAAAAAAAAAATATAACATTTATAAAAGTTATTTAAAGTAATTCTGGAAAAAGTTTTATTTACAATAATTAAAATAAATAGGAGCCATTTTATTACATTGGATTTTCCACATAAGGAGAAGATGAAATAAAGCATTGGAAAATTTGCAAGATGAACTATTAAACTTATAAAAGGTCTTAGACAATAAATTGAACAGAAACAAACAGCATTATCTTCAGTTATTCCAATATTTGAAGAAACAGTTGAATTTGCATGATTTCAATTATTTGGGGATTTACATTTTCTTCATAATTGTATAGTGTTTATAAATAAAAAAAGAAAATAGTTTGATTAACTTTAAATATGATTATGAGTTAGCCAGGGGTACAGATTTGAAGAATTTGGTACCACTTAATCGGCACAGATTAAGTGAAATCTGTTCTCTGGGTTTCGGATCGAGGGATCCGGTCTCTAGTCGAAGGATGGCCTTAAGGGCGTTTAAAATGGATCCAAATCTTGAGATTCAAATCCACCTCAGGATGATGACACCAGTTAATCAGATTTGTAATATGCAGATTAACACGTGTATGGAATAATTTAGGAGATGATAAGATGTTTTTGATTCAGATACTTGTGAGACCATATCTTTAACATAAAACAAATATTTAATAAACAAAAATAAAATTATACAAAATAGACCTTCGAATAAAGCTATTTATCACGGAGAGAGAGAGTTCGCAATTTCTGTAAAAACCATACTACTTCACTATATTTCTATATTCTTCTTCTTTATTTCAGATTCTGGTTCTGGAGGAGTGTTCTTATCTTGGTTAGTTCTTTAACGGCACATAAGTAAACATTTTTCTTCTATTATAAAAGACTCATTAACAACTTTATAAGAACTATGGGAGTTGAATATGGACGTTGGCCGTAGGGAGATGATGTGGAATACGTCCTCCTTCTATCGAATTTCTGGCATACTCCCCGAATGATACTAAAGAATCCCCTTTTTGGATGTTTTTCTCCAATGAGAAAATGGTATTATTCCCACATGTTTAGGAAAAGTGGGGGTTTACAGAGGCGTTGACTGTTTCCAGGGTGACTAAAATTTTATGAGATAAGGGAGAAAGAAAGAGGATGTTCAACTTCTGTAGAAGGAAGTGACTTTTACCAGTTTCCTTCGTTTTTGAAAATATAATTTTATCATCAAAATCGTAGAATATGTTCGTCTAAAATTTACTTTTTTGATTAACATTTTGAATAATTATGTGGTTGGTGTTTTGAATCTCACGTGATAGTTAAAGCATCAGTTTACCACTCTGAGGGACCGAGACTCAAATTCAGGACCAGGCAAGCAGACTTGGAAATTTTTATGGGCAGTTTGTTGTAGATATGTTAGGCCTTATTCAGCAACTCTGTTGTGGGCTTTGAGTTACAAAGAGTTAAAAATGAAGGAAAAAAACTATTTAATTATATATTTTTTTTAAGTTATTGTAGAATATCTTGAAATTAATTTATAATACTATTTGATATCTAAAACATTAAGTTATGAAAAATTACATAATGATTATTTTAATTTTGTTTGTTGTTTTTTCAATACAAAGAAAAATAACCTTAATAGTAAAAATACAAAAATCATTTAGATCTCCTTTAAATATGTTTAGAATTTCCATGCATAATGAATAAGATTTTTAATAATTCTGATTTTAATAATTTTCAAATATTGCAAATTCATATTTGAAAATTTTAGAAACATTTTAAAATAATCATATTTATATTTAATAATAATTGATTTTAAATAAAATTGAAATCTATTCATTTTCAAAACTATTCTTTAATATTATAAATTTCATTGAGTTTTTGAATTGTTTAATTTAATTGAGAATTTCATTGTGGTTAAATAGTTTTTGTCAACATTGAGTTGTTGACAAAAGTTATTTAACTACAACTCCTGACATTCTTAATTAAAATTAGTTTAACTAATTTTAATTAAGAATATTGTATTTCATAATTAATATAGTTTGGATAGACACAATTTAGATATCAATATAAGATAAAAGAAAACACTTATGGAATAGTTTTCTTTTTTATTATACAATATATGGATATTTAGACAATAGAATTTTTATAATTTAAAAATTAATTATTTATTTTATAATAAATTTAATAATTATAAATAGTTAATTTTTAATTCATACATTTCTAACATTTAATTTGGTATTGGTCATTAAATTTAATACATGATGGTAGCATAACTCCCTACCTCTAGTCAAATTAATTAATTTCTAATATTTAATTAGAGCCTTTACATAGTCCAAGAATTTGGCATATCGTTTGGCATGTTTATTATATAATGGGCTATGGTTGTTGATGTTTAAAAGTAATATGTGTGAACACAAGTTTGGAAAAATATGTGATTGCAAGTGACACTAAGATGCTAGTGGAAAAAGTGCTAAACACAGACTGATGGAGCATGCGCACAATTCGGGACTTTCCTTCTTTTTGTCACTTGTTATACAAAACATTGCTCGTTAAGCGAGGCATTTTTTTTACAATTTGTTTTGCTTATTATGCAAGGTTCCACTGTATTTAAATTTTATTTAATATAAAAAATCTTTTAAAAATTTAGTTTGAAATACAGTTTAACCTAATTATAACATCATCCATGGGACCAGCAATTTTTTGACATAACCGAGTGTCATTGTGTGCGGGGTCATAATTTTAGTCTCATAAAAAGTACCAAGTGTGTTTAAGAATCTATTATAAAATCCATTCTAATTTAACATCGTATGTATTACCATAAAATTATTTTATAATGGTAATACAGTATACTGTATCTATTATGGTAATAATAATTTATTATTGTATGTATAAAAGTGCAAACTAAATGTTTAAATCAACTTTATTTACATTATTATGTCTAAGTTTACGTTGATGTAATTAAAAATTTCAAAAATTACCTTTTATATTTTCTATTTGTCTTAAGTTTCGATAATGGTGGTACTTCCTGTTTTGAGAATAATGTCAAATCAAAAGGCAACAAAAGGTTAAATTAATGTATGCCAATTAAAAAGACACAATAACAATATTCACTTTAAAAAGTCAGTTATTTTAGATTGTAGATGTTTTTTACCTAAAAATTGTTTATCAATGTCATTTTCTAAATCAGTGTTTTTCAATCTTCTTGAATACGTGATCGCTTTGCAAGTTAAAAACTTCTGGCGACCCCTAGGGCCATATTAAAATTATATCAGTGATTTTAAAAACTATGTATTTAATTTTCTTTCTGTTGAGACCTAAATATTGATCAAAAAACCAATTATACTGTAAAATAAACAGGCATTTATTGTAGTGTAGGACCTACAAACACTTGTCTTTTTCGTTTACCCGCAACCCCCTGGGGGTCGCAACCCACAGGTTGAAAAACACTGTTCTAAATCATAGACTTTGATCATTATTTCCGATAAAGTTTTTTGAGACCTGTAAAAGATTTTCAATAATTTTATTGCATTGCATGCTTTCCTGGTTGACAGCACATCATTTTCTCTGTCTGATGTTTTATCTTCATCATCCTCATTTTTTTTGTCTGAAGATTTAATTTGCTCAACAATATCTGTATCTATATAAAATAACACGAGTAACTATGGAGACTAACCAATTGTCACATCGTTTAAAGATGTGACAAACCTCATCTCACGAAGTCAGGTAGTGAAAGTACCATCCACAGTCATTCTAGGAAGTAGACTCTGACCCTAGAAACTGAACACATAGTACATATACTGTATTTTCTTTGTAAAATAAAATTCATAATCTAATTTTGTAAATCTGGGAGTGATTTAAATATGACATTAAAACAGGGTTTTATGGCATTATGAGTGGGTTTTTTTAACATTTTCTAGTATAGTAAAATCATGGGACCTTTAAAAATTTGACGTTATATTAGGGTTGTTACATCTGATGATGTTATAATTGGGTTAAACTGTATTTACAAAATATTACAAATGAAGGTGAATACAAAATAATTTTAGTCTTATGAATCATTTACAACTACAGGAACACTATTAAAACAATTTATGAAAGTAATTTTTTATCATTTTGGGTGAAGAGTTTGCAATAAAAGGTTGACTTTTATTTTAATAGGTTGACTTTTTATTTAAGGTTGAATATTTTAATTACCATATTTTACAGTATATAAGATGTATCCTCATCTCACTACATAGTATTTTGGAAAAAGTATTTAGTGTAGTAAAGCCATTTTGCACCTTTGGTACTTCCCTAAATTTGTTTTTACTGTATTTCAATTGAAATGGGTAAAATTAGAATGCACACTTTTATCTATCAGGGAAAAAGAGAAGTTTAAAAGAAGTTATTTACAATTAAAATTTATCATTAAACTATTTAACTTGCATACAAAATTTGCTTAGCTGTAGTAGAAATAATAGTGAGGTTTCGGCCTAAGTTTTCATCTCTAAAACGTGAACGTCAAACGTCAAGCATCGCTTACAAGATAGCAATGTTTGACATTCACGTTTTAGAGATGAAAACTTCAGCCGAAACCTCTCTAATAATTACAATATGTTAAATTAAACAGTAACATTTTTATTTAAGATTTGGACTAGGTAGAGGCTACCCGTTGCCTATTGAATGCTGTTTGGGGAATTCTTTAGCTTATGGGATATTGAAACTTCACATATAACATGTAGGAAAATTTTTTTTAGCCTTTTTTGGATAAAAGTTTCACCTTACAGGTCATAAAATTTGGTATGTTTCTGTAGCTGTGAATAACCATATGTAACAAGAATACAATTATTATGTGCTTGTTTTCATTTGTAATATTTTGTAATACAGGTTGTATATTTCCTTAATTAATTGCAAAAGACTACAAATGATACCACTTTCTTACATATATGAGTTTGTTTTACATCATAAAGATTTGATATGGAAACCATGTGTAACTCAGCAAATATTCACATGGTAATTCAATTCTTTCCATATTTTTCCCAGCATATCCCATCATGTTATCATGATCATCAGTTCTTGAATCCCCTCTGTTTAAATTTTTCTACATCACTTGATAATGGTGATACACATGATTCTTTTTATAATCTCACAGAAAGAAGTCATATGGAGTTAAATCTTGTGATTTTAGTGGCTATCTTGTGAAATATTTATTCCTCTTTTTAGTATATCTGATTCAACACAGAGATAGCTTAGTGCTCAGTTATGCCCAAATATCATTACAAAGTTTTCCTATCTGGAAATGGAAATGCGGTGGCATCCCATTCTGTTAGAAAAGAGAGTCATTAGAATCTTCCTTTACTTCAGGCATCAACCATTGCTGCAACAAGTCCAGATAGGAATGCTCATTAGCTGTGCCCTCAGTGAAGAATGAGTTTTTAAATTTTTTCAAATGACAAAATATTACAAATTATTCTTTCTTTTGGTAACACCTTTGGTAAATTGTGCTTGTGCTGAATGACTTTGTGAGGTATCTGGATAACTTCAATTTAACTGTTGTTCCTGTTGGCTATCCTACTTGTGTGAAATGTCATTTAATTGCTGGAAAGTGATTTGTGAAATTATCTTTTTATGTCTCTTGTTACAGTTGGCAACAAAACTGGAAGTTGTCTTTTTTTTTTTTTTTTTTGAATGTAGTTGTAAGGAATCCACGCTCAACTAACAGACATTTATTTAATTAAAATATTCATTTTGGTTTATTTGTCTGTCTCTCTCTTCAAATCTTTATTTTATTGGATTTATCTTTAAAATCTTTTTAAGAGTGTAGATAAAATCAATAAAATAAGGGACTGAAGAGGGCCAGATAGTAAGCTTAAAATATACATCCTTAATTAAACAAATGTCTTTTGATTGAGTGTGCTTTCTCAACAGAAGGACCTTTAAATACATTTGAAAAAAGAGAAGTGAATGAGAAGAAAACTAAAACTGAAAGTGCTTTTCTTTGTCGTCTTTTAACATGAACGGCTTCTTAAGCATCTTATACAGAACTTTCCACACTGATTTCATTGGCATTTCTTTTGTAGGTCATGTGATCATCTAAGTGTTGATTTCTTCATACTCATTGTGAACATGTCTCTGATCCACTCTACCTTCTCTTCACTCATATCAGAATGACCACTCGTGTTTTGTGGACTGTTGACAGGCAACCTGTGGTTATTAATTTCTTACGTCAGTTGTAAATTAACTTCCTGCTTGGTGCCTGCACAGTCCAGAATATTTATTGAACATCTATAGTACACTTACGTTTATCAAACTCTAACATACAGAATATCTTTTCAGCACAAGAGGTGCATCTTTGCAGTTACTAACACCAACTAAGAGTGAATGATGAAACTGTCAGTTTCTCTTTCTAATATCACTTTTCTCTTTATGAATAGGAAAGTGATATTTACAGTCATTGTATAATAAATTAAGGAAGGTGTTACTTGCCTTCATGTACACCCTGTATAAAAATTATAAAAATCTTTCAAATTATAATTAATTATTTGTATTTTTACTATCTTATATTTTTATTAATGTTCATAGTTTTATTTTTACTCTTAAATTTATAAAAAAAAATTTATTTATTGTTTTTAATTTAATTTTTTGTTTTGCTCTTTAGATTCAATCAGCAAAATAAAGAACTTCGTTTTGGAACTTTTGTCTTTGGACCTGTAGCTATGAGATTGTTTTATCATTTGGGAAAACCAGATGTTGTATTAAACTGCCTACAAGATAAGGTAAAAATTTTCAAAATGTTTTTACATATAGTTTTGTCATGCATGCACTGCATGACGTTGTACACCCACATCACACTTTGATGTGGGTATACAATGTCATGCAGAGCATGCCTGAGTGTACACCCACATCAAAGTGTGATGGTGAACACATATTACTATTTAGCTGTTTATATAGGGCATCCCACGTACTGGGTAGGTCAAGTTTGGGTGTGTTACCTGGCTCCAAGGTTGTTGTAAGGAGAGATTCCGATATGACGTTTCAAATTCTTACATAATTGAACTTTGATCGTACACATAATGATTTAATTTTGATTTAAATGATGCTTATTTCATTTATGTTAGAATAATATGTTCTATAATTTAAATCTTGTTTGTGTGAAGATGATAGATATAAGTATGTTGAAAGTGCTAGTGCCACTCTCAGTATTGTTTTTACTTTCTTTTATATTATAGAATTATTTTTTAAGCCCTTATTTTGAAAGTTATGTATCCATATTGTGTTAGTGTTGGTTTTTCATTGGATGCTGAGTGCTTCATAAATTAAGATTTTATCAGTGGCGTGCCGTGACATTTGATGATAGGGAAGCTCTGTTTCTGTAAGAAGCCAACTTCCAGGGGCAATCAGTCAGCGATGGTCTAGGGTCCATTCGTAATTGTTTGTTCGATAAGCCAGTAAAAACCGTTGACTTCTCTAAATGTATTTTTAATTAATAGATTATCTAACACACTTAATAAATAACAAGTTCAATATAATTAACTCTGTTATATTAGATTTAATAGATTCTCTACGCCCTCTAAATGCCAATTCTTGCTTCGATAATATCTACTANAGGGAGGCCAGTATTTAAACGAGACTTAATTTTCTAATTATGAATGGTTGTTTGTTTTGTGAGCAATAAAATAATTTAAAAATAATTTTTAACGATACAATAGCGACAATTATTATTTAAAACAAAATTTTGTTAGGCTTAACATCGATGAAAATTCAACGCAAAGTTGGTTAATAGCGATATACTAATATACTAATTACATGGGATATACTAATATACTATAGTAATAATGTATTTTTTTCATTCTTTTCGGTTATCCGACCAACCCGAGTCCCCAATTGAGTCGGATAATCGATGCTTTACTGTATTGGTCAAATTACGTCACATGTTAAGTATTTTTACACAAAATACTTAACATTACATTTCTGAAATTTTGAACTAAAATTTGAATTCAGATTTATTTCCTAATTCATTTATTTATAATTTAAAGTTATTAGATAAGCAAAAAAAAAAAAATATAACATTTATAAAAGTTATTTAAAGTAATTCTGGAAAAAGTTTTATTTACAATAATTAAAATAAATAGGAGCCATTTTATTACATTGGATTTTCCACATAAGGAGAAGATGAAATAAAGCATTGGAAAATTTGCAAGATGAACTATTAAACTTATAAAAGGTCTTAGACAATAAATTGAACAGAAACAAACAGCATTATCTTCAGTTATTCCAATATTTGAAGAAACAGTTGAATTTGCATGATTTCAATTATTTGGGGATTTACATTTTCTTCATAATTGTATAGTGTTTATAAATAAAAAAAGAAAATAGTTTGATTAACTTTAAATATGATTATGAGTTAGCCAGGGGTACAGATTTGAAGAATTTGGTACCACTTAATCGGCACAGATTAAGTGAAATCTGTTCTCTGGGTTTCGGATCGAGGGATCCGGTCTCTAGTCGAAGGATGGCCTTAAGGGCGTTTAAAATGGATCCAAATCTTGAGATTCAAATCCACCTCAGGATGATGACACCAGTTAATCAGATTTGTAATATGCAGATTAACACGTGTATGGAATAATTTAGGAGATGATAAGATGTTTTTGATTCAGATACTTGTGAGACCATATCTTTAACATAAAACAAATATTTAATAAACAAAAATAAAATTATACAAAATAGACCTTCGAATAAAGCTATTTATCACGGAGAGAGAGAGTTCGCAATTTCTGTAAAAACCATACTACTTCACTATATTTCTATATTCTTCTTCTTTATTTCAGATTCTGGTTCTGGAGGAGTGTTCTTATCTTGGTTAGTTCTTTAACGGCACATAAGTAAACATTTTTCTTCTATTATAAAAGACTCATTAACAACTTTATAAGAACTATGGGAGTTGAATATGGACGTTGGCCGTAGGGAGATGATGTGGAATACGTCCTCCTTCTATCGAATTTCTGGCATACTCCCCGAATGATACTAAAGAATCCCCTTTTTGGATGTTTTTCTCCAATGAGAAAATGGTATTATTCCCACATGTTTAGGAAAAGTGGGGGTTTACAGAGGCGTTGACTGTTTCCAGGGTGACTAAAATTTTATGAGATAAGGGAGAAAGAAAGAGGATGTTCAACTTCTGTAGAAGGAAGTGACTTTTACCAGTTTCCTTCGTTTTTGAAAATATAATTTTATCATCAAAATCGTAGAATATGTTCGTCTAAAATTTACTTTTTTGATTAACATTTTGAATAATTATGTGGTTGGTGTTTTGAATCTCACGTGATAGTTAAAGCATCAGTTTACCACTCTGAGGGACCGAGACTCAAATTCAGGACCAGGCAAGCAGACTTGGAAATTTTTATGGGCAGTTTGTTGTAGATATGTTAGGCCTTATTCAGCAACTCTGTTGTGGGCTTTGAGTTACAAAGAGTTAAAAATGAAGGAAAAAAACTATTTAATTATATATTTTTTTTAAGTTATTGTAGAATATCTTGAAATTAATTTATAATACTATTTGATATCTAAAACATTAAGTTATGAAAAATTACATAATGATTATTTTAATTTTGTTTGTTGTTTTTTCAATACAAAGAAAAATAACCTTAATAGTAAAAATACAAAAATCATTTAGATCTCCTTTAAATATGTTTAGAATTTCCATGCATAATGAATAAGATTTTTAATAATTCTGATTTTAATAATTTTCAAATATTGCAAATTCATATTTGAAAATTTTAGAAACATTTTAAAATAATCATATTTATATTTAATAATAATTGATTTTAAATAAAATTGAAATCTATTCATTTTCAAAACTATTCTTTAATATTATAAATTTCATTGAGTTTTTGAATTGTTTAATTTAATTGAGAATTTCATTGTGGTTAAATAGTTTTTGTCAACATTGAGTTGTTGACAAAAGTTATTTAACTACAACTCCTGACATTCTTAATTAAAATTAGTTTAACTAATTTTAATTAAGAATATTGTATTTCATAATTAATATAGTTTGGATAGACACAATTTAGATATCAATATAAGATAAAAGAAAACACTTATGGAATAGTTTTCTTTTTTATTATACAATATATGGATATTTAGACAATAGAATTTTTATAATTTAAAAATTAATTATTTATTTTATAATAAATTTAATAATTATAAATAGTTAATTTTTAATTCATACATTTCTAACATTTAATTTGGTATTGGTCATTAAATTTAATACATGATGGTAGCATAACTCCCTACCTCTAGTCAAATTAATTAATTTCTAATATTTAATTAGAGCCTTTACATAGTCCAAGAATTTGGCATATCGTTTGGCATGTTTATTATATAATGGGCTATGGTTGTTGATGTTTAAAAGTAATATGTGTGAACACAAGTTTGGAAAAATATGTGATTGCAAGTGACACTAAGATGCTAGTGGAAAAAGTGCTAAACACAGACTGATGGAGCATGCGCACAATTCGGGACTTTCCTTCTTTTTGTCACTTGTTATACAAAACATTGCTCGTTAAGCGAGGCATTTTTTTTACAATTTGTTTTGCTTATTATGCAAGGTTCCACTGTATTTAAATTTTATTTAATATAAAAAATCTTTTAAAAATTTAGTTTGAAATACAGTTTAACCTAATTATAACATCATCCATGGGACCAGCAATTTTTTGACATAACCGAGTGTCATTGTGTGCGGGGTCATAATTTTAGTCTCATAAAAAGTACCAAGTGTGTTTAAGAATCTATTATAAAATCCATTCTAATTTAACATCGTATGTATTACCATAAAATTATTTTATAATGGTAATACAGTATACTGTATCTATTATGGTAATAATAATTTATTATTGTATGTATAAAAGTGCAAACTAAATGTTTAAATCAACTTTATTTACATTATTATGTCTAAGTTTACGTTGATGTAATTAAAAATTTCAAAAATTACCTTTTATATTTTCTATTTGTCTTAAGTTTCGATAATGGTGGTACTTCCTGTTTTGAGAATAATGTCAAATCAAAAGGCAACAAAAGGTTAAATTAATGTATGCCAATTAAAAAGACACAATAACAATATTCACTTTAAAAAGTCAGTTATTTTAGATTGTAGATGTTTTTTACCTAAAAATTGTTTATCAATGTCATTTTCTAAATCAGTGTTTTTCAATCTTCTTGAATACGTGATCGCTTTGCAAGTTAAAAACTTCTGGCGACCCCTAGGGCCATATTAAAATTATATCAGTGATTTTAAAAACTATGTATTTAATTTTCTTTCTGTTGAGACCTAAATATTGATCAAAAAACCAATTATACTGTAAAATAAACAGGCATTTATTGTAGTGTAGGACCTACAAACACTTGTCTTTTTCGTTTACCCGCAACCCCCTGGGGGTCGCAACCCACAGGTTGAAAAACACTGTTCTAAATCATAGACTTTGATCATTATTTCCGATAAAGTTTTTTGAGACCTGTAAAAGATTTTCAATAATTTTATTGCATTGCATGCTTTCCTGGTTGACAGCACATCATTTTCTCTGTCTGATGTTTTATCTTCATCATCCTCATTTTTTTTGTCTGAAGATTTAATTTGCTCAACAATATCTGTATCTATATAAAATAACACGAGTAACTATGGAGACTAACCAATTGTCACATCGTTTAAAGATGTGACAAACCTCATCTNAGCCATTCTTATTCCACACACTAATTTCATTTGAAAATAATAGGCAAGGCCAACAAAACAATTTTTGCATTTTTATGCATCCACAAAGCCATTTTATGTCTTCATACATTTTATCATGAAAATGTCAAACAAATTTTTTTTGTTGACATATTTATATTGGTCTTTCTCTCTTAATAATGTTTTCTTTTTCATTATATGGTCTTAGGCCAAAACTTTTTTGAAATAGATTTTCAATATCACAATTACATTCTAAATTGCTAGCCATAATATAAGGGCTAAAATTAAAAATAAAATTATAAAAACTTACTTGTTAAAATAAAATGTGTGATGGATATAGAATTATACGTACCTAGTACAAAATATTCAATTGTATGAATATACTTTTAAAGAAAATTATAATTAAATATAGTTTTATGAAGAAACGTACATAAAAATAACAAAATATTCTTTACTTTTTAAATATATAGCTAAATGGATTGTTTTAAATATTAAAACAATCCACTTAGTTAAAATTGCTCCCTACCAGTGGCTAATGAATGGAATCAGAGACGGTCCTTGTAGGTGTGCAGGCGTGCATGTGTGCCAAATTCTGAGGGTGCCGATAGTGGTTAATGTCAAATGCCTCTTTTGTCGCATCACTAGCATATCTCAAAGGACGCGATAGAGTTGTTGTAAATTTTAAACGTTTCTCACCATAGCTGTAAAAATCTACATGTGTTAAACTTAATTGTCATTTGTTTTCTAACTAATTTGTTTTAGGACCAGGTGTCCGTGGAAATTTCCAAAATTTACAACTTTTCGGTCACTCTCATTGAATTGGAAAAATTTCTGTCTTTATTACATCTAATATTATGAAGAAATCAGTCCCCACTGTACTCGGTTAGAGATTGGTTCGGTTAAGCCTTTGTTTAAATAAATTCCTACTTTTTCATCAGTTTTATTTATGTCCCCAATTCCCTAATCACTTAATTATTTAACTACTACTTAAGTAGAAATAAGTCAAAACCAGTTACTTTGTACTTGAATATTTTTAGTCTTGGGAAAAAGTGGAAAGACAGATTTTTATGACAACGGATACATAAATCGTAAATTTAAGGAAAATAAATTCTAGAGCTTTTTCTGTATCTGGTGCATCTCTTTCATTCATTAAATTTAGTTGTAAATGATGCTACCAAAGTAACGGTTAATTTTTTAACATTGTACAAGAATTGTACATGTTTTTTTCTACATCCCCTTATAGATGGGACATACGAAATCGTAATATCACTGGTTTAACATTGAAATCTGTAAGTAACATAAGATTGGAGAGCAGAATAAAAATATCAAATATTTTAATGGATTTTTTTTAAACTCCTGTCAACTATACAGAACTATCATAAAAACATATCAGTAAATACTTATCAGTTGGGTTAAGTTATAAATCTATTCATGATTCACATAATCAGGCGAGGGCGGCCAGATATCTAGCGGGCAGGCGGCTAACAGCCGAGAACTGGTCCTAGATAGAATCATTGGAAGCATTATACGTGTGTAGCTTCCACCAGATAAACTGGGTGAGGTTGGTGCTCTGTAAAGTGCATGTGTGAATGAGTATAATCTGGCTGTTTGGAAGCTGACGATATAGCGCTTCCATTCCGCCACTAATATTCGAATATACATAGCAATCTTATTGTTTTTTTCATGTGTAGTATAGAGATTTGTAATAAGATACATAATACGGTAATAGTAAAATATTAATTTTAATTATATGAAAATAATCGCACAACGTGTATTTATTTTTTAGAAAATACAAGGGAAGCGGTGCTTCCACTGCTTCCAATGATGGCACGCCACTGGATTTTATAAGACATGTATTACTATAAATCTCATACTGATAAACATTTACGAATTGTATTTACTTGAAACTGTCCTTTAGTATAAGAGAGATGAAATTAGAATTATTCTAATTTAAAATATTTATATTTAAAGTGTAATTGATATAGAGTTACCATATGACTTAATTTATGAGCACGCATCCTCATTTTAGAGTAAAAATTACTGTCTGCACACATTTTTATGAATTTTTTTATTTTCATATTTTCCAGAGAGTAGATGTTTTTTCTTCACTTTGATGGTACCTGGTGTAAAATGGGAGATTTTTTTTATTGGTAACAATTGAGTAGCTAACTCTTGAATCTTAAATTCAGGAGTTAGCTACTCAACCAATTACATCAGCAATTGAGTAGCATTTTCATTTCTGATATTATATTTTTATCATCAGTTTTTGCTTTGCATTTTTGTTTTTGGTTCTAATTTTGATTTTCATTAGCTTTGTATTTTGATTACATGTGGACTGCATGTAGTATTAGCATTTGCCATTTTATCTGTTTAGATTTATTGAAGCAATTGCTTACTTGATGCACAATAGTAAATGTTAAAACTATAAAATAAATAATGAATTGTTAAATATTCAGAAATCTTCATCACTTTTAGTAAATGAGAATTATGCAATAAAAAATAATTAATAAATAGTAATGCAATAATTTAATGGCTTCAATATTAATGAACTTTAAAATTTAAAATTTCAAAAATTAGATTACAAGTTAAATTTAAGTTTGATATCAATATTGGCAGTTAAACCATTTATAACTGATTTTTCTCATCCATTTAACATTTGGAAATTGAAATTATGATTTTAGCTATTGATTTGCTGACAAATTTCAACTATAAACAATTTTGAATTTAAACAAACAACTTGACACCTGTAAGTGTGAATTTCAGCATATAATGAACAAATAAATTGCCAGTTTTTTTTTTTTTTTTTAATTTTGAATTTGAATTCAAAAATTAATCTTTTCCAAAGTTTTAAATTTCTTGCTGTGATTGGTTAGAAAAAAATCAGTTGACTAACAGTGATTTTAAAAATAGTATAAATAGGCAGTCTTTGTTTGGTATCTTTACTTTTCATTGATGTTCTGCACTTTTTTATATAGTGTGTATGTATATAAATATCATATTGGCCTTAACATTACATAAGTAAGATAACTTTCACTTGTCAGTACATTTGCTTTTTCTGGGTTGGCAATTCTGTGTTCATTATAGCTGTCACATGGTAATATGAACATGTGGACATGGAACATGGGAATGTGAACATGGTAATATCTACTGTGAAAACTTGAAAATCTTTATGGTACAGTGTTTTCCTATGAAGAGTCACTGTAAAATGTGAACTGTAAAATCTACTATTTATTTTAATTTAAATTTTAATAGACTGATAAAAAAATAAGCAAATATTGGTTAAACCATTTAGATTTGCATATAAATACATCAAATTTGTTGAGCAGGAGCAAATAAAAGTCAGAACATCTATAATTGTCAGTAATGGGGAATTAACCTTTAGCTTGTGACAGTGTCAATAGTAATGAATGGGTTAGCCCTTAAGTCCTTAGCTAAAGACATCTTCAACTTTTTCCTTAATAATTTCAGACATTTCACTTCACATATATTTCAGCTTGTTGACTATTGTCACAGTGTCTACTAAATAACACAACTCCATTCTTGCTGATTCTAGAGGCTTCAAAGAAGTTTACAGCATTTCAAAAAATACTTTGTTGGGAAAATGTACATCTTGACCTAGATCTTGCATGATCAAATATGCCAATCTCTTATCCTGTGATGTTGAAAGATCTTTCAGTCAAGTTAGAGCATTGTTTCGACTTAATTGAAACAATTTTAAAATTGAAAATTTCAAACAAACTTTTGTAACATATTATTATGGAAACTACTGTGTATGTAATAATGATATTAATAATAAAATTTTAGATTTGTAAAATAAAAGTTTTAGATATTTTGGTAATTGTGATACATATTTTGGGAAAATTGAGTACCTATTACCATAATTTTTAATGTATATCTATCTGGATCACAGTTATGACATATATATGCAGTACATTTCAACAATTGTATAGAAATCATAATGCACAAAAGCATTATAGTATTTTCTTTATCTAAATAATTTCAGTTCTCAAACATAACTAGAGTTTTATTTCTACAATACAATAAACTAATTCAGTGTTTTCCAGAGTTTTGACATCCATATATTCCTTCTTAAATTTTATAAGTATTCCCTTATCAAAAAAAATCATTTACAAACTATCCAAATGCATCACTTATCACAAAGAGAATTCATATGAAATTTATGATTTATTGGGAAAAATATACATTTAAAATAATTTGTTTCTACAGTGCTACATAAAAACAAGCCAAATGATTGTTGTATTTAATCAGGCTACTTTCTTACTATGGAAATTATTTGGATTATTATTAAACATGAGTCTTTGATATGTTTATATATATGCTAAAAATATATATACTATGAAGACCTTTTGTCTCCCCCAAGGTATGGTATGAATACCACACATATACTTCAATAATTTATGCTTATTTTATATATAATTAATATGTATTGTGCTTTATAATATATGTAAGATTTGTTATTTTAATATCTACATCTTTTTTATTATCAAAACGATTTTAATTTCTAACGATTAATTTTTGTTTTTGAAAAATCAGGAATTGGAAGGATTTTTTGATCAAATATCTTCTTATCATATTGCCATGGATTTGTTGTTTGTTAATAAACGTTATCAAGATGTTTTGGATGTTTATGATGTATTGAGAAATAAACAATTGTATGGTACAAGATATCCTCGTGACTGTGTTGTTTTAGCATTAGCTTCATGCTATAAATTGGTGAGTTTAAATATATACATTTAAATAAAGTTTAAAATATTGATCATAAATACATAATCTAATTATTAATTTGTTATTTTTGAATTAATTTTGACATATTTAAATTTACAGTTTATACCTGTTTCTCCTGAAAAACAAAATTTTGAACTTTTGGCATTTTCTCAATTTTATTGTATTTTCTTCTTCATGAAACAAGAATCCTCTTTAATTCTAATCTAGAAGCATCAGTTTTAAATATTTAATACTTAATAAATTTTATTGATCCAACCAGTTAAAAACTTTTCTAGTTAAAATTAATGTTTTTATTTATTTTTTAGTAAACTAGTTAATATTTATTTAGTTTCTTTTTTCTTTCTGTTTCTCTCTCCAAACTAAAACATCATTTAACTGAATAGTACAGCTTTGGGGAAGTATTTAGTCTGAATATCAAATACTTACTTTTTGACCAAATATACCAAATATGAAATAGTGCCAAATATTTGGTCCAACAGTAATTATTATTAATGCTCATTGCTTTCGTTTATAAATCTTTTATATTATTGTATATAAATTTTAATAACATGTTTTATGGAAGTCTTGAAGAAGAAAAGTAAAGTATCTATAACATTTTAGAGAGTTCCAAATAGTCAATATGATGGTCAAATGGCAATGGTCAAGATGGCAGCCTACTACTCTGGGGGCCTGGGATCAAATCCAGATGGGTTGAAAAAATCNTTGAATATATTTTTAGAATGACCCAAAAATTGCAATGGAGATATTAGCATTAACTCCAACATTAAATTTTGTGACTGTTAAAAACTTAAGAGTAAGTAATGTTTTATTTATTTTATTTTTTTTGCTTTCAGAATCTTTTTACAAAATGTATGTTGCAATTTTATGAAGTAAGTATTATGAATTACTAAAAATGATTACATAATAATATTTATTGATACGTAAAAGTGAACAAAGATTATTTAAATGATTTACTATAATGTGGACTAAAAATCAACCTATTGAAGAACATATTCCTTTGCAAACTAGCAATTCCTATTATAATTTCTTTCTAGACAATACTATAGAATAGTGCACAAAATTTTTGTGAATATATTGATTTAATTGAATATATTACAGTGCATAAATAACAAACATCATTATTTGTGTAGTGCAGAGGTTGATAACCTTTTATGATTGCTGTGCCTAAGTAAAACAATGCATTGGCTTAGTGTTTCAGTTTTATTTTACAAAAAGCTCTTTATTTAATTTTCTAAAGTGCAAGAAAATACATTTGGATGTAGAATAACCTAATCTAACCTAACTTTTTTTAAATTAAAGAAAGAATTTCTATATTTTATTTTATGAATTATGAATATTGTTATTGGTACAAATAAACTTGCAGGAAATTACATAATTTTGAAGAAAAGAATACAGATTATATATTTCTGTCATTTAATCATAAGTGAATCTAATATGAAACAGTATTCATATTTCTGTTCAATCTGGTACAGGTTTTAGTTAATAACTGTTATGGATAGTAAAGAATTTTAAAAGAGTAATGATTTGGTCTTAGAACCAAACCAATGATTTGGTTTTTCAAATGTGATGTCCTTATAAATTACTCTTTTATTGTGTTTTACAAGTCATGTTACATATCATGAATATATGGATTTGCTCTGTGTGTAGCATTGATTGACAATCGTTGTTGTAGATCAGGCAATAGAGCAACCCTTTTTATGTTTTGGACCCTTTTAAGAAAATTTTTTCATCAACCCCTTATATACATATATTTACACTTATGTTTTTAAAATATTTTTTATACAGTAGAGCGTCGATTATCCGAATCAATTGGTGAATGGTGTTGTTCGGAAGATTGATATTTTGGATAACCGATTATGTACGAAAAAATATATTAACCTATCCCATGTTGAAATTTTTCTCCGTTGCGTGTCTCTTTGCGTTGAATTTTTGTCGATGTTAAGTCTAACGAAGACTATTGCATCGTTAAAAATTATTTTTTTATTTTGTACGAACNGTATTATTTAATTTATATTTAACACGTTTTGATATCTTTTAGAAATCTAACTTCTTTGTTGTAGCATTATATCTCACTGATGATAAATAAAAGTCTTGCTTTTAAATTTCAGTTCTTTCATAAATCTGATATAATATGAAGAATTGCTCTTTTAAAGAGCAACATATGGACCAGCATAGTTTTAAAATTTTCATTTTGTACTAGCATAGCAAAAAATCTTATCTGTTGTTGAAATATTTGATGATTGCTAAATCATACAATTTATCTGAATAAATCTAATAAATTGTATGATTTAGCAATCATCAAATATTTCAATATATATATATATAGGAAATTTTTCAGACATAAATACATTATTTCAAGTTTTAAAATTATTCAATGTTGATATTGTAGCATAATCCCTCCTAATTGTTTGTCTTAGTTCTATAACTATTTCGAAGTACACACATTATTTTTAGGTAACCACATAGTTAAAAGTCAAAAAAGTTTTTATCTTAAGCAATATTTAATTTTTAAAACTATTAAAATTTCATAGATGTTTATATATGAAATGCAAAAATTAACACATTCTTTAGCTAATATTTTAATATATATTAAATGTGATGAAAATGGATTAGAATATAAAAGTATATGTACAACTAAATGAGAGTCTGTATGACCCATATTTAATTTAATGTTTAATAAGACAGACTAAACAAATTATAGCCAATCTGCAACAAAGATTTGATTTGAGTAACACTTATGAAAAACTTATAATGCATTTAATATTCCAGAATTACCAGAAAGTCTTACCAACAACAAGAAAAACATTTTCTTTTTGAAGTTTTATTTTACAAATAATGCAGCTGTGATTTCATATATCCCAAAGAATAAAATTGCAACACTCATAAGTATAATATACTAGGATGCTACTGTAAGTGACAATAATCACCAAAAGCCTATTGTGAACTTGATTATAATAAAAACAAATGCACTGCTAATATTTTACACAAGCTTATTCCAATGTAGACTTATAGAAGACAAACAGCGCAATGGCTGATGACAATTTCCTTACTGTATTACTGATGTATCAACCAACGTATGTCTTTATTTTATGGTGTGAAATTAATCCAGAATGATTTAAGACAAAACTTATGATACAAAGAACATCAATTTGAAGAACTAGATCAATTCTTAGTTGAGCTGTTTATACAAGAAAGACTACATTTGCTTTGAAGTGAAAATGCTGAAAGAACTGTCAAGGCATTACAAGGGCAGGACTGCCCAGAGGGTGGCAGGAGCCTGGACAACATACATATGGAACTCTGTAGTCAATTAAATGTTTATTGAAGTAAATGAAAAACAAACATTGTATAGGGACCCCAGAAAGTTGGGGTCCAGGGCAATTTGTTTTTTATTTCCTCCTTCTGGGAATCCCTATGCAAGGGACAGCCAAGACAGAGAAAAAGGACACTAATAAAAAATAAAACATATGCAGATTCTGTCTATCTTCTAAAAATAACAAATGTTTATTTATGCTTCAAAAATTTGTATATAAGTCATGTCTTAGTATTATCAAACTGTAAAAAATAATTTTCTTATATAAAGATATTATCTAATATTAATATTCTTTATACATATATATATATAATTAATTCACTTAATTATTTTTAATTGTTCAAAATTACAAAAAGATATTTTACTGACTCAAATAGTCTATCATTTGACTTGATATCATTCACCATCATATCATGTGTCAGTATAATTGTGAAAATATCCAAATGTGGTAATTATTAAGATAAAAATAACTTTGTAGAAGTCAGTTATGAAAATTAGAATTTCCTGTATACATAGAACTAACACTTTTCCGTTATTAAAATAGATGTTATTCAGTAACTGTGAATAATTAAATCATACATATGATTCTTATTTATTAGGTGATTACATATTACAGTATTTGTAATATATAACAAACATAGTATCACATGGAATAGTATGATATTTTACATATTTACAATAACTTTTTCAATAGCAATAATGAAATAAACTGAAAAATAACTAGTATATTTAGAAAAATACTATATATTTATAATTTCAGAAAATAGGATTTAAATTTCTGTTTTTTATTCATAAACTGTAGAATATTTTTAATTTTTACAAATTAGAACTTTATTACATCTTAATTATTTAAATAAACATATTTGCAATAATTAAATATTGAACTTTAATAATACATGTCTTGCTAGAGAGAATGTTTTTGATTTATTTTGATTATTAATAAATTTTATTGTAAATATACTCAAGAAACTTTTATGTATGTTCAGAAGAACAAATGAAATGACTTATCCAAGGCATGTGGATAGAATACAGAACAAAATTAATTTATAATGTTCATATTTTTAATACAACTAGCCATTGTTTTGTAGATGGCAATACATGATTAATTCATGTATTGCCATCTACATGTATTCATGCCAAATAATCTGCTGAATTATAATAAAGCTAATTTAATAATTAGATATAAAGTAATATGACTAGATGCAGGCAGTTAGGTTGCCATCTCATAATGCCTACCTCTAGTCAAATTACTTTATATCTAATTATTAAATTAGCCTTATTACAGCTTGATAATTCAGCAGATCTTGGATTGTTGTTTAGGTTTTATAACAAATCTAAACAATAATCCACAAACCTAATTTTTAAGGATATTATAGTTGAGGATGTTTGATGATCATTAATTAAACTAATGTAAAAGGATATTTTGATCTTATTTATCAACATTTATTACAGAAAGTTATTGTAAAATAATAATAAACTGTGTTATCAAATTTCATAAATTAATAATACTTCATATCTAAAATTTCATTTTTAAAATTGAGTTATTATCTGATGTTGAGAGTAAAGTTTTGATATATATAAATTTCTAAAGTTATATTTAGATGTAAAAACATTTGATTGTATATAAAAACATTCAAGAGAATTTAATTCAATTTACATTCAATTGTATAGCTTATTGCCTTATCAGAATTAGGTCGTCTTGAGGATGTATTCGCTACATTACGATCAGTTGTTGATCAAGACATTCCAATGCAAATGAAGACAGAAGGAGCTATTACACAGGATACGGTGAGGATTAATTAATTCTGTTTTAATCTAGTTTTTGTTCTTAGTTTAGAAATTTCAATTTATAAATAGAATCAATTATATCATTTAAGTTTTATTAATATATTTTATTTATCTTAAGATTAAAATATACTTTTTAAAGAACTATTAAGTTTAAAGACATTTTTTAAAATGCATTTATGATTTTACTATGAATCATATTTTTTTTCAGAGAGCACTAAAAGGCCATAAATGAATCATGTTTCTAACACAGAGACACTTTTAGGTCTATCCAGCCTTTAGGAGTTATCTTCTAAACATATATCTATAGTACATTAATTTTCATATTGAGTCAAAGTGAGTCATTTTGTTTTTGGAAAGAAATCTTAAAACTCAAATAAGTCAAAAGAAATTTTTTAAAACTGTATAAGTGAAATGTAAATCATCACTAATGTTTCCAAAGCCTTTAACTTCATCTTCGGATGTAATAATCTCTTATAACTGGGAATAATGACTCCCTAATAATCATACAGTTATAACAGGAAACAGGCTCAAAATGTAGAAGTCCCTACTTTTCATTATCAGAAATTTTTAAAAATCATTCCAATAGAAAATCAGCTAATTTTAAAATAACAGAATAGGATAATAGTATTCATTATTGGATTCACTATTAATTGTATGTATTATTAAATAATTATAAATATAAGACTCTTGTTTATTTAGGCAACTACAGTATTGTATATATTATTTGTAATGTATATTACAGACCCGATGGTATGCAATAATATGATATTTTACACATATATATGTAATAATAAATTACACACATATATGTAGCAATGATGTACATATATGTAGTGGTTCCTTGTACTTCAAATTTAATTCATTCCAGGAGGCCATTCAAACTGAATTGTTCAAAATCCAAATCAATATTTTCCTATTAAAAATAATGGAAAGTCAATTATTAATCCATTTCCAGGCCCTAAACAATACCCATTTTGATAAACTTATAACAGCAAATGCACATAATTTAATGTAAAAATAACAGAATTAAATGCCTTAATAATAAATTAAAATAAGAAAACAATAAATAAATTATGTAAATACTGCATAATAAACTGAAAATTGCATTTACTGGTTGCATACAATTGACTTTGACAGTTAAGATCTGCCCCATATCTACCACTTTCATGCTTCACAATAAGTTAGTTCATTTTTTATCTCAATTGTCAATATTACATCCTTCCTCTTAGGCTTCATTGCTTCAGCACACTTCTCAGATTCCATGGTTAATTAAATAAATGTTATATTGAGTTGAATAAAAAGTTTGTGTATTTTTAGCAGCTCTCATTACTTAACATAGACATGTGGTTTAATTATAACAGTTGTTTAATACATTATTGTTNAACAAAATAAATATATTGAAAAATATAAAAACAATAAAAAATTATACTTCAGAAGTTAATTTAGTATCAAAAACGTTAAATAGTTGAGTAGCCCAAGACATAGCCAAAGATTGCAGCGCTACAGCACTGGCGAAAATGTAAATTTGCCGACTGGAATTCTTTCGGATGATTGACGTTTCGAATAATTGACTTTTGGATAATCGACGCTCTACTGTATTTGGAAAGTTTTTAACATGACAATGTTTGAAGTTAAATTTAAATTTATATTGTATTATCTGTGTTAACTAATAACTTTTTTTACCATAATTACAAGAGTATAAAATTGTACTCTTGTACAATTTTATACTCTTGTAACAAATTTTAATAGTTCTTTTAATGCAAACATCATGTACAATCAAAGCCCAGATTTTAAGGTGCAGCACCTCACTTCCAATAGTTTAGTGGAGAAATCAGAAATACTTTATTTGTATTTATTTCATGTTTATATAACAAGTACCATCATTTTTTGCACCTTTTTCATCATGTTTTCCTTCTTTAATGATTTAACATTATTTCTCTCTTTTTCCTAGATTTTTATTATCTTAATTCATAATCACTGTTTTTTTACAGAAAAACAGTTTAAATGTATTTATTTTACATTTATTACTTTAATTAAATTATTACTTTATATTTATAAAGTAATAATTTAATTAAAGTATAATTCTTAAGTTTAATTAAAGTATAAATTCTTTACATAATGATACAAGTGTCAAGATCTAAACTGTACAGATTGGCAAAATCCTTTAAAGATGAAGGTATTGAAACTGATGGAAGTATACATCAATGAAATGCACGTGATTCAGTTTTGTTAGTATATAACAAGCATTTGTCATTTTGGGTGATTTGTGGTGAAATTGAAATATAAATGTAAGGAGATACACTTTATGTAAAGAACTTATAGGAAATTCACTAAATAATGCTGCCAGTCAATCAGGAAATGAACAGGTGTGCTGCTGAATAAGATAAACCACTCATCACTGAAGAATTTTCTGAAAAATATACAGACAGACTGATGCCTAAAGAAAGTACTGTGCATTATGAAAATCACATATACAGCCAGTCTACAAGCATGTCCTTGAAAAAATAATTTTTATTGTTGGTGATAATCTTGTTTATTTTGTTATAAATGAAGCAATGGATAAGAAAAAAACAATTTGTTTTAAACATACTTGTGGCACCATTGACAGGTGATCCAGTTATTCCAATGCTCATCAAAATGTATGAACTGCCAAAACAAATGCCTCATCCATAAGCAAAGCTTCAATGATCTGGCTAGATGGAATAAAGTATGACCTTTGTGAGAAGTAGTAACAGATCAAGCTTTGTATATGATTTCAACATTTTCAAACTTAAAAATGATGTACCCTAAACTTAAACAAGTTACTCACATCACGCATGCCATACACAGATTTTGTGAATCCATTTGTGTTGAACACAGCAAAGCCTAACTTCATATCAGTGATGAAAATAATCTTTTTAAAATGTCCATTTTGTGTTCAGCTTTACAATGAAGTGATGAATTTAAAGTTTTCTCTTGAACCTATAATTATTTATAGAAAACACCTGCTGCTAACCAAGTTCCCTTGGTTAGCAGCAGGTGTTTTCTATTGTGAAAACTTGACCAAAATAACTGATTTCATCAACAAATTGGTTTCATCTAGCTCAGCAGCAGTTTCAAAAATAAAGAAACTAATTCTTGATAAAGATTTGGATGATGAGTTGTTAGCTGTGCACAAATACAAATTTTTATGTACAGTCGACCCCCTATAACACTGTTGATAATTCCGTTTTATATGAATTCCATGTTGTACGAGTCACTTAGATTTTACAAATACGTGTGCCAGGCTGTGAACGGCTCACATATTTGTAAAATCTAAGTGACTTGTACAACATGGAATTCATATAAAATGGAATTATCAACAGTGTTATAGGGGGTTGACTGTACTCAAATAACTCATTTGGAAGAATGAAATTTATCAATACAGAAATAGTGGAAAATCTCCTATGAAGCTCAAGAAAAATTAGAAGGGTTTGCAAAAGATAAATTAGAAGCAAGTATTTCCAACAATTCTGACATTGATGTGCTGACCTTGAATTTCAAGTAAAAATATGCACCACTGTCTTTAGTGGATGTAGAAAGATCATTTTCAGTCTACAAAAACTTCCTTCAACCTAACAGAGAAAGCCTTACCTTTAGCAACATTGAACATATGCTTGTGATGGACTACAATAATTTTGTATTCAGTTGAAAAATTAATCTGTGTACCTTAATAAATTATTTTGAAATTCTCTGCATTTAGTACTGTTTAATTTTTATTAACTATAACATATTTTCTGTTTAAAAAATGTGCATTTTTTGCCCATATTATGCACCTTTTTCTTCAGTTTTTACAGTTTTCTTGCACCTTAAAATCCAAGACCTATTTATGATTCTAATTTTTCTTTACTCTAATTTCATGCTGATACTTGATAAGGTATCATTAGTTAATAAGTTGAATAATAATTAAAATAAATAATTAACATTTTTAAATTTTTGTGATTTGAGGGTAGTTAAACTATGATAAAAATGTAATTTTAAAATAGTTTTTCAAAATTAATTAAATTTAAAACTTTATACAGTTTTTGATATATTCTAAAGAAGCTATACAAATAAAACTCAATTTCTAGATTTTTAATTTAGAAATTTTATTGATGAATATTTTCATTAGGTATGTTGACAATTCAAATTTTTAAGGTTATGAAATATTTAATGCTATTTCACTATTATCAAGATCTTAAAAGCATTAACCAGTAATTTGAAAGCTTAAGATAATTTCTATTGCTCAAACTAGTAGCAAAATTAATTATTTTATCTTATAATAGCAGGTGAGAGTATCTATCAAAAAACTTCAGAAAACAACCATTTAAGGTCTCTTTTTTGTTTTAGAATGTATGAATTAGTGATGATGTAAATAAACAAATTAATTACTGTATTTTATGCATATTACCATAGGTTATCTGTCTTTAAAAGACAAGTAAAAAGGAGGTGTGGGTTATGTGATAGGGTGGATTATATTCCAATTTTAAATTACAATTATGAAATATGCACTTAAGGAGTGGACATTGCTACAAAGTACTATATGTATGGGAAAAGAATTTATTTTCATTCCATCAATTTTTTACAGGTTATATGCCGCCATGGGATATATACACAAAAATATGGTACTTTAAACATTTTTATTTTTAATCATTTTATAGCAGGAATATATCTGATCTGAGATTAAATCTTATTCACATATATAATTTAAAATGATACTGAATTCTGGATATTATTATAGAATTTTCTTGTTGAAAATAACTTAAATTGCATGGAATAAAAATTTCATATACATTTTTTCCATATATATAAACAAACATCAGCTAACCCGATAAANTTTTTTTTTAATTTTGAATTTGAATTCAAAAATTAATCTTTTCCAAAGTTTTAAATTTCTTGCTGTGATTGGTTAGAAAAAAATCAGTTGACTAACAGTGATTTTAAAAATAGTATAAATAGGCAGTCTTTGTTTGGTATCTTTACTTTTCATTGATGTTCTGCACTTTTTTATATAGTGTGTATGTATATAAATATCATATTGGCCTTAACATTACATAAGTAAGATAACTTTCACTTGTCAGTACATTTGCTTTTTCTGGGTTGGCAATTCTGTGTTCATTATAGCTGTCACATGGTAATATGAACATGTGGACATGGAACATGGGAATGTGAACATGGTAATATCTACTGTGAAAACTTGAAAATCTTTATGGTACAGTGTTTTCCTATGAAGAGTCACTGTAAAATGTGAACTGTAAAATCTACTATTTATTTTAATTTAAATTTTAATAGACTGATAAAAAAATAAGCAAATATTGGTTAAACCATTTAGATTTGCATATAAATACATCAAATTTGTTGAGCAGGAGCAAATAAAAGTCAGAACATCTATAATTGTCAGTAATGGGGAATTAACCTTTAGCTTGTGACAGTGTCAATAGTAATGAATGGGTTAGCCCTTAAGTCCTTAGCTAAAGACATCTTCAACTTTTTCCTTAATAATTTCAGACATTTCACTTCACATATATTTCAGCTTGTTGACTATTGTCACAGTGTCTACTAAATAACACAACTCCATTCTTGCTGATTCTAGAGGCTTCAAAGAAGTTTACAGCATTTCAAAAAATACTTTGTTGGGAAAATGTACATCTTGACCTAGATCTTGCATGATCAAATATGCCAATCTCTTATCCTGTGATGTTGAAAGATCTTTCAGTCAAGTTAGAGCATTGTTTCGACTTAATTGAAACAATTTTAAAATTGAAAATTTCAAACAAACTTTTGTAACATATTATTATGGAAACTACTGTGTATGTAATAATGATATTAATAATAAAATTTTAGATTTGTAAAATAAAAGTTTTAGATATTTTGGTAATTGTGATACATATTTTGGGAAAATTGAGTACCTATTACCATAATTTTTAATGTATATCTATCTGGATCACAGTTATGACATATATATGCAGTACATTTCAACAATTGTATAGAAATCATAATGCACAAAAGCATTATAGTATTTTCTTTATCTAAATAATTTCAGTTCTCAAACATAACTAGAGTTTTATTTCTACAATACAATAAACTAATTCAGTGTTTTCCAGAGTTTTGACATCCATATATTCCTTCTTAAATTTTATAAGTATTCCCTTATCAAAAAAAATCATTTACAAACTATCCAAATGCATCACTTATCACAAAGAGAATTCATATGAAATTTATGATTTATTGGGAAAAATATACATTTAAAATAATTTGTTTCTACAGTGCTACATAAAAACAAGCCAAATGATTGTTGTATTTAATCAGGCTACTTTCTTACTATGGAAATTATTTGGATTATTATTAAACATGAGTCTTTGATATGTTTATATATATGCTAAAAATATATATACTATGAAGACCTTTTGTCTCCCCCAAGGTATGGTATGAATACCACACATATACTTCAATAATTTATGCTTATTTTATATATAATTAATATGTATTGTGCTTTATAATATATGTAAGATTTGTTATTTTAATATCTACATCTTTTTTATTATCAAAACGATTTTAATTTCTAACGATTAATTTTTGTTTTTGAAAAATCAGGAATTGGAAGGATTTTTTGATCAAATATCTTCTTATCATATTGCCATGGATTTGTTGTTTGTTAATAAACGTTATCAAGATGTTTTGGATGTTTATGATGTATTGAGAAATAAACAATTGTATGGTACAAGATATCCTCGTGACTGTGTTGTTTTAGCATTAGCTTCATGCTATAAATTGGTGAGTTTAAATATATACATTTAAATAAAGTTTAAAATATTGATCATAAATACATAATCTAATTATTAATTTGTTATTTTTGAATTAATTTTGACATATTTAAATTTACAGTTTATACCTGTTTCTCCTGAAAAACAAAATTTTGAACTTTTGGCATTTTCTCAATTTTATTGTATTTTCTTCTTCATGAAACAAGAATCCTCTTTAATTCTAATCTAGAAGCATCAGTTTTAAATATTTAATACTTAATAAATTTTATTGATCCAACCAGTTAAAAACTTTTCTAGTTAAAATTAATGTTTTTATTTATTTTTTAGTAAACTAGTTAATATTTATTTAGTTTCTTTTTTCTTTCTGTTTCTCTCTCCAAACTAAAACATCATTTAACTGAATAGTACAGCTTTGGGGAAGTATTTAGTCTGAATATCAAATACTTACTTTTTGACCAAATATACCAAATATGAAATAGTGCCAAATATTTGGTCCAACAGTAATTATTATTAATGCTCATTGCTTTCGTTTATAAATCTTTTATATTATTGTATATAAATTTTAATAACATGTTTTATGGAAGTCTTGAAGAAGAAAAGTAAAGTATCTATAACATTTTAGAGAGTTCCAAATAGTCAATATGATGGTCAAATGGCAATGGTCAAGATGGCAGCCTACTACTCTGGGGGCCTGGGATCAAATCCAGATGGGTTGAAAAAATCTTCAGGAATTTTTCGGGGATGATTCGATTTGATATGTCTGTCCCATTCCTCACCACTCAGCCACCCCATTGTGGACCTGGCCGATTCCATAATGGGCTCACTAAAAGAGGCCTCTTAGTGTCCATACAATGGAAAGAGAGGGGGGGAAATGGTCAATGGAGAAATGTATTAATATGAGAAAATAAGAAGGAAAAACTTAAATTGGAGATGGAGCAATAAAATTGATTTATACATTACAAAGCTGTAACTTTGATTCTGATGATGATAAGAAAAAAATTTTCTAGCAAAAAGAAACTCTAGTTTTTAATTAATTTTTTTTTAATAATATGTTTTTTCATATGATTGTTGAATATAATTTCTCTTTAAAAACATAGACTTAATTTTTATAAATAAAATTAAGTAATATATTATTTTTAATTAAAATTTTAAAAAATCAGAATTATTGTTAAAAATAAAGTTTGTTTTGTATATAAAATTATTTCTTTATCTTAATTTTCAGAATACTCCTGAATCATATAATTACAGTATTAATTTGTTAAAGTTAGCTAGAGAAGTTGGAGCTAACATACTTAGAAAAGGGATAACTTTTGCATCTGCTTTAGCACTTGCTCAGGTAAATTTTTATAAACTTTGTAATATAAAGCTATTCATAATGTGTTTAACATTATGAATTTAACATTTAACTTAGTTTATTGTTATGTAATTTTTATTGAACTTATAATAATTTGCTATCTAAATAGATATAAATAGACTGTAGAAATGGTTTTTAATATGTTATAAAAGATATAATTTCATTAAAAGTAAAGATTGATAATTTCTGTATAAAGATAAAATATACATAGTGGACTTTTAGATTATGGTAATAATTCTTTCTCTCATATGAAGATAAAGCCATTGAAACTTGAATTTACATTAATCAATATTAATATTACAAATTATTGGTATTTGATATAATGACAAAAAGTTTCTGTTTTTCTTTTGTAGATTGGTTTATGTAAATATTCTAGTATTAAAAACGTAAACACTTCATTTCAAATAAATTTCATGTTTACTATAAACAAAGTTGAGTTGAGTGGTTTGATATCATTTTACAAAAGTTTGATATCATTGGTTCTTCTTAACTAGTAATACTATTTTAAGTTGAAAAAATTGAAGAAAGTAGGATAAAAATTGTCATTATGGCCATTTATCCAACTGAAAAACTTGTTTTTGAAAAAAATTACACCAAAATATGTTAATTTTAAAGAAGTGATCTAAAAATTATTTGAATATTATTTGTCGCAGTAACAATAATAATAAGTTCTTTGTTGGTTTTGATATTAGCAATTCAAAATTTATTGTAATTTAAAATATTTCAAATAAAATGAAATTAGCTTTATTTAACAATTTTCATGATGACTCAGGATAATTTTTTCTTCAATTTTGAGGTTAAGACTATTAACAAAAATATACATTTTCGAGTCTATCCTTTAATTCTTTTAACACAACTACAGAAGTAACAGTTACAATGGTTGGAAGAATAAACTTCATTAAATAAAGACATTAATACGTAAAAAATTCACAAAGTTAAAAATGATCAAACATCAGCCTTTTCAACGAGGATCTGATGCTTTTACATTAAAAACAAAAAGTAAATCTTCTCACCATACTATAATGCCAGGGTGGCCAAGCTCCTTGATAGTCCAAGCCATTTTTCAAAATTTGAAATTTTTCGCAAGCCGCAATTAAATACGTATTAAAAAGGTATGCAAAAAATTCCAGATTACAAATTATATCCGTAGCAAGAGTGATACAAATTGTTTCCTCCAGAGCACAATGTCAACTGTCCACTGCAATGACAGTTTACAAATTCAAAATCGGTCTGGAGTCGGTCGATAACGNCCTTTGCAAACTAGCAATTCCTATTATAATTTCTTTCTAGACAATACTATAGAATAGTGCACAAAATTTTTGTGAATATATTGATTTAATTGAATATATTACAGTGCATAAATAACAAACATCATTATTTGCGTAGTGCAGAGGTTGATAACCTTTTATGATTGCTGTGCCTAAGTAAAACAATGCATTGGCTTAGTGTTTCAGTTTTATTTTACAAAAAGCTCTTTATTTAATTTTCTAAAGTGCAAGAAAATACATTTGGATGTAGAATAACCTAATCTAACCTAACTTTTTTTAAATTAAAGAAAGAATTTCTATATTTTATTTTATGAATTATGAATATTGTTATTGGTACAAATAAACTTGCAGGAAATTACATAATTTTGAAGAAAAGAATACAGATTATATATTTCTGTCATTTAATCATAAGTGAATCTAATATGAAACAGTATTCATATTTCTGTTCAATCTGGTACAGGTTTTAGTTAATAACTGTTATGGATAGTAAAGAATTTTAAAAGAGTAATGATTTGGTCTTAGAACCAAACCAATGATTTGGTTTTTCAAATGTGATGTCCTTATAAATTACTCTTTTATTGTGTTTTACAAGTCATGTTACATATCATGAATATATGGATTTGCTCTGTGTGTAGCATTGATTGACAATCGTTGTTGTAGATCAGGCAATAGAGCAACCCTTTTTATGTTTTGGACCCTTTTAAGAAAATTTTTTCATCAACCCCTTATATACATATATTTACACTTATGTTTTTAAAATATTTTTTATACAGTAGAGCGTCGATTATCCGAATCAATTGGTGAATGGTGTTGTTCGGAAGATTGATATTTTGGATAACCGATTATGTACGAAAAAATATATTAACCTATCCCATGTTGAAATTTTTCTCCGTTGCGTGTCTCTTTGCGTTGAATTTTTGTCGATGTTAAGTCTAACGAAGACTATTGCATCGTTAAAAATTATTTTTTTATTTTGTATGAACAAAATAAATATATTGAAAAATATAAAAACAATAAAAAATTATACTTCAGAAGTTAATTTAGTATCAAAAACGTTAAATAGTTGAGTAGCCCAAGACATAGCCAAAGATTGCAGCGCTACAGCACTGGCGAAAATGTAAATTTGCCAACTGGAATTCTTTCGGATGATTGACGTTTCGAATAATTGACTTTTGGATAATCGACGCTCTACTGTATTTGGAAAGTTTTTAACATGACAATGTTTGAAGTTAAATTTAAATTTATATTGTATTATCTGTGTTAACTAATAACTTTTTTTACCATAATTACAAGAGTATAAAATTGTACTCTTGTACAATTTTATACTCTTGTAACAAATTTTAATAGTTCTTTTAATGCAAACATCATGTACAATCAAAGCCCAGATTTTAAGGTGCAGCACCTCACTTCCAATAGTTTAGTGGAGAAATCAGAAATACTTTATTTGTATTTATTTCATGTTTATATAACAAGTACCATCATTTTTTGCACCTTTTTCATCATGTTTTCCTTCTTTAATGATTTAACATTATTTCTCTCTTTTTCCTAGATTTTTATTATCTTAATTCATAATCACTGTTTTTTTACAGAAAAACAGTTTAAATGTATTTATTTTACATTTATTACTTTAATTAAATTATTACTTTATATTTATAAAGTAATAATTTAATTAAAGTATAATTCTTAAGTTTAATTAAAGTATAAATTCTTTACATAATGATACAAGTGTCAAGATCTAAACTGTACAGATTGGCAAAATCCTTTAAAGATGAAGGTATTGAAACTGATGGAAGTATACATCAATGAAATGCACGTGATTCAGTTTTGTTAGTATATAACAAGCATTTGTCATTTTGGGTGATTTGTGGTGAAATTGAAATATAAATGTAAGGAGATACACTTTATGTAAAGAACTTATAGGAAATTCACTAAATAATGCTGCCAGTCAATCAGGAAATGAACAGGTGTGCTGCTGAATAAGATAAACCACTCATCACTGAAGAATTTTCTGAAAAATATACAGACAGACTGATGCCTAAAGAAAGTACTGTGCATTATGAAAATCACATATACAGCCAGTCTACAAGCATGTCCTTGAAAAAATAATTTTTATTGTTGGTGATAATCTTGTTTATTTTGTTATAAATGAAGCAATGGATAAGAAAAAAACAATTTGTTTTAAACATACTTGTGGCACCATTGACAGGTGATCCAGTTATTCCAATGCTCATCAAAATGTATGAACTGCCAAAACAAATGCCTCATCCATAAGCAAAGCTTCAATGATCTGGCTAGATGGAATAAAGTATGACCTTTGTGAGAAGTAGTAACAGATCAAGCTTTGTATATGATTTCAACATTTTCAAACTTAAAAATGATGTACCCTAAACTTAAACAAGTTACTCACATCACGCATGCCATACACAGATTTTGTGAATCCATTTGTGTTGAACACAGCAAAGCCTAACTTCATATCAGTGATGAAAATAATCTTTTTAAAATGTCCATTTTGTGTTCAGCTTTACAATGAAGTGATGAATTTAAAGTTTTCTCTTGAACCTATAATTATTTATAGAAAACACCTGCTGCTAACCAAGTTCCCTTGGTTAGCAGCAGGTGTTTTCTATTGTGAAAACTTGACCAAAATAACTGATTTCATCAACAAATTGGTTTCATCTAGCTCAGCAGCAGTTTCAAAAATAAAGAAACTAATTCTTGATAAAGATTTGGATGATGAGTTGTTAGCTGTGCACAAATACAAATTTTTATGTACAGTCGACCCCCTATAACACTGTTGATAATTCCGTTTTATATGAATTCCATGTTGTACGAGTCACTTAGATTTTACAAATACGTGTGCCAGGCTGTGAACGGCTCACATATTTGTAAAATCTAAGTGACTTGTACAACATGGAATTCATATAAAATGGAATTATCAACAGTGTTATAGGGGGTTGACTGTACTCAAATAACTCATTTGGAAGAATGAAATTTATCAATACAGAAATAGTGGAAAATCTCCTATGAAGCTCAAGAAAAATTAGAAGGGTTTGCAAAAGATAAATTAGAAGCAAGTATTTCCAACAATTCTGACATTGATGTGCTGACCTTGAATTTCAAGTAAAAATATGCACCACTGTCTTTAGTGGATGTAGAAAGATCATTTTCAGTCTACAAAAACTTCCTTCAACCTAACAGAGAAAGCCTTACCTTTAGCAACATTGAACATATGCTTGTGATGGACTACAATAATTTTGTATTCAGTTGAAAAATTAATCTGTGTACCTTAATAAATTATTTTGAAATTCTCTGCATTTAGTACTGTTTAATTTTTATTAACTATAACATATTTTCTGTTTAAAAAATGTGCATTTTTTGCCCATATTATGCACCTTTTTCTTCAGTTTTTACAGTTTTCTTGCACCTTAAAATCCAAGACCTATTTATGATTCTAATTTTTCTTTACTCTAATTTCATGCTGATACTTGATAAGGTATCATTAGTTAATAAGTTGAATAATAATTAAAATAAATAATTAACATTTTTAAATTTTTGTGATTTGAGGGTAGTTAAACTATGATAAAAATGTAATTTTAAAATAGTTTTTCAAAATTAATTAAATTTAAAACTTTATACAGTTTTTGATATATTCTAAAGAAGCTATACAAATAAAACTCAATTTCTAGATTTTTAATTTAGAAATTTTATTGATGAATATTTTCATTAGGTATGTTGACAATTCAAATTTTTAAGGTTATGAAATATTTAATGCTATTTCACTATTATCAAGATCTTAAAAGCATTAACCAGTAATTTGAAAGCTTAAGATAATTTCTATTGCTCAAACTAGTAGCAAAATTAATTATTTTATCTTATAATAGCAGGTGAGAGTATCTATCAAAAAACTTCAGAAAACAACCATTTAAGGTCTCTTTTTTGTTTTAGAATGTATGAATTAGTGATGATGTAAATAAACAAATTAATTACTGTATTTTATGCATATTACCATAGGTTATCTGTCTTTAAAAGACAAGTAAAAAGGAGGTGTGGGTTATGTGATAGGGTGGATTATATTCCAATTTTAAATTACAATTATGAAATATGCACTTAAGGAGTGGACATTGCTACAAAGTACTATATGTATGGGAAAAGAATTTATTTTCATTCCATCAATTTTTTACAGGTTATATGCCGCCATGGGATATATACACAAAAATATGGTACTTTAAACATTTTTATTTTTAATCATTTTATAGCAGGAATATATCTGATCTGAGATTAAATCTTATTCACATATATAATTTAAAATGATACTGAATTCTGGATATTATTATAGAATTTTCTTGTTGAAAATAACTTAAATTTCATGGAATAAAAATTTCATATACATTTTTTCCATATATATAAACAAACATCAGCTAACCCGATAAACATTAAAGCAACCAAAAACGAATTAATGGGCTAGAAGCAACTATAATAATATTGTAGCCACTTCTAGCCTGTTAATTCGGCTTTGGTTGCTTTAAATTTTTTCCTTTTTGAATTAAAGAATTGATATAAGAAATGTGATTAAATTTTTTTAATCAATTTTTATATAATTCTATTTAAATAAAGAATATTATACTAAATTATTTTTTAGATAATATAAATAATAATAAATTTCTAGAGGTGGTAATTAGATTTTCTAATTAAAATTCAGATAAATTCAAAATTACTTAATGAAAATGATAAAGTATAATACTTGATGAAATAATTGATTAGATTTTAATAATAAAAGAATCATTATGAGTCTTTTATTATTATTTCAAATCAGACAACTAAATATATAACAATAAAATCTGTAAAAAGCAATAATGAAAATGTTGATGCCATTATAGTTTTTAAGAAAATATTAAAAAAAAAATAAATTTAATAAATAGTTTGTAGGTAGGAATTGTTGTTATGAGAAAATGCTTTTCAAATGGAATTTATCTATGAATAAAATCAAAAGTGTATGTACTAGTGAAATAATTTTTTTGATATTAAATCAATTAAAATCATCGATATAATGGTTTTAAGCAAATCACTAACAAATTAACAATCAGATAGGCACTTAAATGGTTAAATTCCTGTTGTTTTCCTTGAATATGCAAATAAAAAAAGA